GACTGGCCTCTCGAATGACGCCAACAAGAATAGCTTATGTTGTCTACCTTGCGTGCTACGGGCGTCATAAAAAAGTATTCGGCGTTCCCCCAACTTCCCCTACATTCAAGATCATGATGGGCGGGATTCCTCACGGTCAAGAGCAAATTAGCAATGCTTAAAAATTATGTGAGTAGTAATTAAACAAATACAAGGAGTAGATGCACGCGTGGATTTTAATTTGTTTCTCATATGTTTCATAGTTATTAAAACATCCATGACAATGGCTGGTCCTCGTCATCACCAAGCCCAGCCAATAAGACAGCACCAAAGTGCTCCCGTCAAGTGTCACATCACGTGGTGTTCGATACACCGACCCCTAGCACGGGCCCTCTTTGTCCGGCTATGGCACACTTCCTCTATTTCACAATGCACGTGTCGCTAACGGTAGACTCTCACCGACCTGCCGGCAAAGTTACGGGACCTGGCTGAAATAACATCCCTCCTTCCCGATTCTGAGGCTGGCGTGGGCTGAGAAGGACGGTCTGCTCACTTGCAGTGTCGCGTGTGGGAGGACGCGATGTGGTGTCGGTTTGCCGGGTTCGCCGGGTGGCCTGCCTAATGTCTGCGGGATAGTCGCAGCCAACAGTCCTATCGGGCAGTTATTTTACTCGATACATCTCCTCTCACTGAAAAAAGATGTACGGGAGAGCTGGAGTCATTGTGACCTTATATGATGTTTTCTTTTCCCGAGTATTAACAAAAAGCTGCCTGCATATTGATGTCACAACGTCCTAGATAACGTTGTTTGCCAATACGTGGGTCTAAAAGTGCTGCATAAGCAAATAAACCTCTGGGAGGCTCACAAAACATGGACCGAGTATAGTTGGTCCTTGTATCACAAAAACTATAGCGCACTTCACCACGCTCTCTGAACCCAAGTAGCTCCTCGAACTGAGGAACGACACGCTCCTTTCTTCGTGTGACAAATAACACCATGTCACTGCCCTCACGCCATCCTGTCCGTGTCACGCTGCGCCAGTCATTAATTAATGGAGCAGCGCCGGAACATGACCCCTCCCGTGCCATTATAATCACGAGCGGTGGTCTCGTGACCTGTCTCGCCGAGCCGGGACTCTGTCGGATTTCGACTGACACGGACACGGTGTCACGGTATGGGACATATGGCTCGTCTGTCGTGATGGTATGACAGTGCGGGAATAACGGTCAGGGAAGCACAGGTTCGGTAATGTGGGCCTAGAATCTCTTATTAATGATGGACGGGAATCGCTCCGAATGCGAACACAATCTGGTGCAAAGACAGCAGGAAATACGAGTATGTAAACTGAAACACATAATAAAATTTAAAACGGATCTCGGCGCTTCGAACTGATGACTCCCCATAACTGATTGGTAGATTGTGCCGCAGGACACACAACTGGCTGGTACAGTCGTGTACAGGTTGATGGTCCCCTACTCTTTATCCACCGGGTTCCTATGGCTCAGCATTGGCAGCAGCCGCCTGGTACCGGTAGGCTGTGCCGCATGACCCGAGAGTGAAGCGGCACAGTCTACCCACGCTGTTTGACATCGGCTCGGGTCGCCGGGTGGAGCGCTTTGTAGACCAGCTGTCGCGTCAGACCAGCGCGGGGGAGGGGCTCGTCTCGGTGGTTGGCGTGGGCTGGCGAGTGGTGTGGGGCGTGTTGGTGGACCATGGGGGCTGGGCGGGTGTGTGTGGTCACTTGCTGCATTGCACATTTTGCGTCACTTAACAATTGCATTCCTGTTTTTGCTAAGCACAATGCACGGAAGACCCAGCGAATATAATTTACTTGTGCATTGTGCAAAACGTGATTTGGCACGGTATCGAGGCAACCATAGGTCTTGTGCCACATATATGCATGATATTTAGGCAATACGCTTATGAAAACGGTAGATTGATCGGATTGATCCTGGATGTCAATTCGTATGCTAAATGTCGACATGTAATAAATGAAGGAATGAATGAATCAATCAATCAATCGACAATCGACATGTAGATATAAAACCGTATAAATGGCTCGCAACCACTAAAATCAAACTAGATCCTAACTCGGAAAAGTAGCCGGAGCCCCGATGAGGCTCGAACCGGGACTCCACGTTGAAAGTTTTGCCAATGATCCATCATCATTCCACCAAGCTAGAGCGACCGGCACCCGAAACCACAAAAACATTCATTGACTTTGTTGCCGACCTCCCGGCCCCGCCGCCCGCCCGGCCAGACTTTGCCCCGGCCGTGGCCACCATCCGGTGTAGCTCAGCGTAGGAGTGCTAGACTGTCAAATTGACCGGTGTGAGAGGCCCGGTTCGAGACGCTTCGCGTGCTGGATGTTTATTTCTGTGTCCGAGGCTATGCGATTAGTCCACTTTTCAGAAAGATTATTTGGTGACAGGTCTGTTTTCTTTCTTTGCTGCAATTCATGAGGAGACCGTATGGACCCTTACCTGTCCTTCCGCACCCCACTTGGGAGATTTTGTGAATATCTCAAAAGCGAATTTTCGGAGGGTGGATTACGATCGGTTCTACGCGACAAGTGACCACTCACACCCAGCCCCAGGTCCGCTCACTCCCTCCCCACATCACCCCCGCCCCACACCACACTCCAGACCGCCTCATCCACCGAGCCGAGCCAAATAGACAGGTCTGACCCTTATCCCCCCTCCCCCAGCCGGTGTAACGCAGCGTCCGGTCAAATCGCTCTACCAGGCGACCCGAGCCGGTGTCATACAGTGTGGGTAGGCTGTGCCGCTTCACTCTCGGGTCATGCGGCACAGCCTACCGGTACCAGGCGGCTGCTGCCAATGCTGAGCCATAGGAACCCGGTGGATAAAGAGTAGGGGACCATCAACCTGTACACGACTGTACGGCTCTCGCGAGAATAAGCGGTAGGTTTTGCACTTTTACATTTCCGGTTATGTCTCAGAAACTAATCGATCTACGATGAAACCATTTTACACGATCGTGGCCGGCTTGTGAACCAACAAGTCGATCGCATCTTCAACACTTAAAAGCTTAAGACGACGAAGACATAGCCTGAGGTACACTAAATTTTCTAGGTGCAAAACCTACCGCTAAAACTCGCGAGACCTGTACATTATACCACACTAAACATAACTGTACCGCATTACACCCGACTGATTGGTAGACTGTATGGCACTACACACAGTACTGACTGTTAGACTGTACCGCACTACACACAGTACTGACTGTTAGACTGTACCGCACTACACACAATTGACAGGTAGATTGTACCGCATGGCACACACAACTGACAGGTAGACTGTACCGCACTACACATACAACTGACAGGTAGATTGTACCGCATGGCACATACAGCTGACTGGTAGAGTGTACCGCACTACACACACAACTGACAGGTAGACTGCACCGCACTACACACACAACTGACTGGTAGACTGTACCGCATGGCACATACAGCTGACTGGTAGAGTGCACCGCACTACACACACAGCTGATTGGTAGACTGTACCGCACTACCTACACACACAACTGACAGATAGACTGTACCGCACTACACACACAACTGACAGGTAGATTGTACCGCATGGCACACACAACTGACAGATAGACTACTGTACCGCACTACACACACAACTGACAGGTAGACTGTACCGCACTACATACACACAACTGACAGGTAGATTGTACCGCATGGCACATACAGCTGACTGGTAGAGTGCACCGCACTACACACACAACTGACAGGACAGGTAGATTGTACCGCATGGCACATACAGCTGACTGGTAGACTGCACCGCACTACACACACAACTGACAGATAGACTGTACCGCATGACACACAATTGATATAGGGTTTGACAAAAACCTGCTGTCCGCATTCGACCATATAGAAAGAAGGATAAATGCTCGTACACATGAAACATTTGCATGTGCCGATCGACAAAAATATCCGTTTGCCTGGGTGTACACACAATGTTCTAGTGCTAAAAGCTCGACAAGTATAACAAACACACAGATGCAGCTTGATTATTCGATGCTCACTGCCCAGCCTTATAGTGCTCGGCATCGATTTGCGCCATCGCATTTGTTCCGCGGGCCGCGCTGTTCTGCTGGTTGCCCTGACGACACCCATTCAGCCGGTGTCAATATCGTGACGTCATTAGCCCACTGAGCGCCGCCGTCAGCTGATGTTTCTATTGGGACTGTGACTGGCAGATCCGGGAAGATAGAGGGATGCATACGGACGGCGTCGGACAATGTTCTAATCAACGATCCATCCAGATGCAGTACCATTGACTTACATACATAGCAGTAATTCGTTGTCTTGATCCCCCCCCCCCCCGACCCCCGAGATCTCCACCTCTGCTTTATCGATAAAAATATCAAGGCGCTTATTTCAAATCTTTCGAATAAAAAATGTGTTACGAAGACTTAACAATGATCAGGCATATTGGTTGATCAGGCATAGATTGGTAAAATGGATGGTTGGATGATGTATGGAGGTAAAATGCATAGATGAAAATATTTAGATTTACAGTACAAACAGTAGTTTTTTGTATTTACAGTACAAAAAAAATACCCATGAGATGATTGACCTGTGCGAGGTATATGTGTAACAAATATAGAATAAATGGCTCAGCACTTTTTTAGTTCTCGCTTCTGGACCTCGCTATACTTTTGTCATTTGTGTCTTCTTTGTTCCACGCATTGGCCTTATCCGAGTGCTAAGCTCGCAGTATTGCTGTGATACTGCGTTATCATCGTCATTTCAAGGCGAGTGACTGTTTATCTCTCTCTGTGGGCCGATTGACTGCTGACGGGCCACCTCGGCCGCTCGCTGGGTGCACAAGTTTGCAGCTGCGGGTCCGGTGGAGGGTGCTGTTTGTTTGTTTCGGTTCGCACCGCCACCGACGGCTGATCAGCTGAGCGCGGCACTGGGCCCCGTCAGCGCCGCGCCAGACCCTCACCGGTATACTATTCGCCGCCATGGACTGGATAGTCGGTCAACTATTGCTCCGTAGAGGGCACCGCCAGCCTCGGGCATCGATTTTCTCCGGCCTCCTGTTTGCCTTGGCGTGGACGCCGGCCGGAGGGTCGGGCGGGCGACATGTGCTATCGATCAGCTGGCACGATGCGGCCGGCTGCAGCTCGGCTTCAGTGCGGCGTGCACGGCAGCGGCCGGTGGCCGTGTGCGGACGGTCGTCGTCACGCTGCGCCTCGGCTGTGACCTTAGTTTTTCCGGCGGCGCGCGGACAAAGGCCGGCTGACTGGGCTGACTGCGGCGTGCCTTTGTCGGTGAATATCAGCTGAGCGGGAGCTCCGGCGTCAGTTCGCCGCGCGGACTGGTAGAGTGAAGACGTCTACAGTGGATTTTTCGTCTTCCAAATCAACTGCGACAACGTGTAGCGATTCGACAAAATAGATAAATGGTTATATTTTGTGCCTTATCTCGCTTTCGACCGACGTGAGGTGTAAATTAGTTAGTCGGCATGAGTGGCGGCGAGTCTGCCGTCCTGAGGTCAGCCAAGCCGCATGTCGGCAAAGAGAACTCGATGCTTCCGCCGCTGACATCGCCCAGCCGCGTCCTCTCCCTGTCCAGGGGGCAGAAGTTCGCCAGCCCGAAAGCCGGCCCCGTCCGCCGTCCAAACTCGGAACAGGATGCAAAGGTGAGCTTATATGTGTTCAACGATTGTTATTGGTGTTAAAAGATTAGGCCAAGGCTGTTAAGTTAACTGGAGGGTACGTAAGGTGTAGCAAAGAGATCGATCATTTTTATGTCGCTTCTTTGTAATAAACTTTAGGTATAATGTAGATAATGTTCGCAAATAATGTACGGAATGCACTTTTCATTCGTTGTTTGGATATCTGTAGGCTACACAATTCATTAGGTATGAGAGAAAGGCGCAACACCTATTGTGCAGGATGCTGTAACATAAGCTCATTAATGTATTCCAAATGCGGTATGCTATTTAAAATAGCTTGAACGTACGAGCCTTTCAGCTACCAGTAAAACACTGAAACACTACGTACCTACATACATTATTTTGATTGACACAAAACAGGAAGATGTCGTGCCCATTTCCTATCAATGAATCCAACAGGAAATGCTCGTTTGTTACCTAATCTGTATATTTTACGATTACGTTTTGCGATGCCTTTTACGTAGGTCCATCATTATAAACACAAATCATAGTGTTTCTGCCATTTTAAAGCTGACTAAATATTTTTTTTTCAGGTCCACAGAGCTACTTCACCGATAACAAATGCGTCGCCCGAGAAAACGGCTCCAAATCAACAGCGGAGGATACAACAACTAGAAAAGTCCATCCTTTTTATGCGAGAACATCATGAGAAAATTGTGTCGGCATTGCATGAAGAAATTGAAGAGTTAAAACGAAAAAATAAAGGTAAGAAACATGTCCTACCTTACTTTTCACACGAACTAAGCTTAAACGTATGGTTGCCTACTGCTATACCTACATACCTATACCTATAGATCGGGAATGCAATGACCCACTTTAAATTTAGGTCCATCACATTGCGAAATTGAGGCACATTTCCTCAATTGTGAGCTCGTGTTTACATAAGTACCTACAACTTACTATAATAAATAATAAATATGACGAACAAATCCCTTTATGCATTTCTTGACAAGCTTTTGGCCTACCTTGACCATTATGAGTATCGCAGCTTTCATATTGGGCACATCTTGATCTTGATAATCCAATATTCAAAGGTTATGCATACACGAAAAAATCATTAGTGAGTTTCCGTTGTAGCGCCTTTGTCAAGCACGGCAGATTGCGTGCCGAAAGACCGCCTAATAACGATTCGACTGGCCCAACATATCCGGGGATAGTGGGTCAGACCGTCTGAATTGGCTGAATTGTATAGCATACATACTACTCATGTATAGGTGTACTCATAGATCACTACCGATATATGTATGTATAGTGGTCTCATATGGTGTATTATATCTAACCTTTTGCGGCGATTCGCGCTAAGAGCATGTGTTGGTGAGGCCAACACTGCGCGTTTGAAGTATGACGGTATGGTGTATGAAACTGAAGCTGAGGTATGATGTATGGAGACAACCGACGAATCAGCCCGTTAAACGTACCCACGTTGACGTTTTCCAGAGAAAAACGACCAAAAACATTCACCTGTAGTCTGATTTTCATGCATTCCTTACATGCAGGCATAGGTACAATAGGTAGGTAGAGTTCGTTTCGGACATAATGTGTGCACTTTGAAAGTTCATCACACGACCTTCAGAGATTAAATCGCTAATGATTAACCCTCGCGGGCCCGGGGGGGGCGTTTTTCGCCCCCCCCCCTGGCGAATATTTGCGATAACCCCCGAACGCTTAGGGATAGGAAGGCGAAACTTTCAGTACCTTTTCTCCCATCAATTTGACATCTTCTGAAGTAAAAAATTTGGACCTAGCTCCCTTGATGACGTCACAAGGTCCATTTTTCTAGACCCCTGCACGGCAAACTTCGGCGTCACAGACGTAAACTTCAAATAGCTGCTAAAAATAGAGTTTTAGAGATAAAGACAAATTACGAGCACGGCTGCGTAGCGTTTGACCTAGAGAAAAATAGAAAATAGTTTTGGTGACCTGAGGTCAGAGGTCAGGTCAACGACCCCGAAATGTGGTTTTAGTTTTTCGCAAATAACTTCGACAAAAATGGTCCTAGAGCTACGGCAATGGTACCATCGCATTCGCCTTGTCAAGCCGCGTCGAATGATATATATTTTGTTCGGAAAAGGTCAAGTTTCATGTTGACCTCATGTGACCTCGAATGACCTCTGGTTGACCTTGACACATGAAAGGTCGTTTATGATGGATTTGTACCCGCTGATCACGAATCTGGCATCTATTTTCCTCTAAGCCTTCATTTAGAACTTCCGGATGGCAAAATTGTATTATTTATTATTACTAACTTGAATCAGTGAAATAGCCTCTAGCAGGGATACTCTTCTGTGACCTTGACCTTTGAGTAGCCTTGCATCGTAAGATGAACCACAAATAGGGAACTGATAAGCCTCAAAACATTTCAAAACATCTTGGAAGTTAGCACGCAAGATGTGCGAAAAAGTGCCAAGTTTGAGGTCAATTTTGAGCGTGACCTTGACCTTGACCTTTGATTTGGAGCACATTTTCAGAATCTTTAGACTCTCTTCTTTCGTTTGACACCCAATTTTGCCGGTTTGATGCAGTCTGCCGTCCTTGAGAAGGCTTACTTTGAGATCACTACACATGTGCCGGTTTTGGCCTTTGACCTTGACCTCTGACCTTGAAAATTGACCTGAGGTCAAAAATTTTAGGTGCATTAGAATTGTCTCGTAAGGACCTTTCGTTTGGTATCGCTTTTGTTTCCGTAGCTCCCTTATTTACGGAGTTAGACAGGGGGGGGGGGCGAAAAACGCCCCCCCCCCGGGCTGCGGTGGTTGGGATTACCCCCCGGGCCCGGCCGGGTTAAGAAGGTAGGTAAGTTTAGGTCAGTACAAGCTGTTGAGTGCACTTAGTTATATGGACACGCTGTGTTATGTGTAGGCCACGATCTATTGCGCACCTTTCAGTCATGTGACCTTTGTTGACATTTGCATGCTGATCGGCTAGAAGTGCCGGCGCACGATTCAGGCCACGACTATCTACTTTGAGGATTGTGTGTGTTTTTTTAAAGCATTTTGCAGGTTTCAAGCCGATCGGAGGCGCTAGGAATCTGTGTTGAATTGGAGCTAAGTATCTCTACGCCTGAACTGGAGCTGAATGCCTTGAATGACATCAGGGTTCGGTCTCTCCAATGTCACTAGCCTACCGGAATTTGAGGATTTCGATTGGTCCGTATACATATGTGACGAGTGGCGGCGAACTGTTCACAAGTATAGAGTCGTCACGACTGGCGGAATAGAGACGCGAGAGAAACCGGATATCTTATTCAGGACCCAGTCGAGCCGTGCGGCTGCAGCTTTTATTAGAGGCCCAGGATCCATGCCCAACTCATTTCTGACCGCGCCAGTCTCAGACTTTGACCTTCATTCACCCAGAAGGTGGAGGTTAAAGTGGCTCCCTGGTGGCCCCTAGTTGTAGTGGCCCGGGTTTTGGCCACCCACAGAGCCCCAAAATGACCCGGCGGCGCCGCGGCTGACCCTGAGGGCTTCTTCAAATGGCCGCGGTGTGCCGCTGCCAGGGTTTCGGTGCAGCCACGGCCGGCCGTTTCCACAGTGGCGGTCACCATTGATCGGCCGCAGTGGAGCGCACACAGCCGGCTGCGGGCCGGCCGGGCACGCGAGCCGCGCGGGGCGAGGTCAAACCGCCCCGGGCGCCAGGGCACGCCACCACAGCTGACCTCGTGACCTCTGTGGTTTGAACCGGCCGCCGAGGGTTGGATCAGGGACCGTTGAGGTATGGAGAGGTTATCGGGCCATCTACATGGAGAGAGACGTAGTGTCCCTCCCTGCAGGTTCCACACGTGTGAGACGTTAGCGGGACGGATGTGTGGGCGAGGAGAGAGGTCCTGCGCCACACGCCGATGGGATTTGGTCACCAGAGGGGTGTATGGGAGGTGGCCGCCACCGTCACTCGGTGATTCAGATATTTGGCCGGCTGGAGGGAGGTGATTCACCCGGTGGGAGGGGAGGGATCACAGGGCCACCCAGGGGTCAGGGTGGTGGGGACTGGGGTGTGTCCGCCCGAAGGGAAGACGCACCACTGCGGAGTGGCTCATGTAGGAAACACAGGCTGGGTATCCAGACAGCACACTGATATCGGGCCGGTGTGCCGTTGATTGGTCATTTGTCTCCTCTCTGACTGTCTGGCTCTCCCCGTCTTTCTTTCTTTCTTTCTTTCTTTCTTTCTTTCTTTCTTTCTTTCTTTCTTTCTTTCTTTCTCTTTTTCTCTTTTTCTCTTTTTCTCTTTCTCTCTCTCTCTCTCTCTCTCTCTCTCTCTCTCTCTCTCTCTCTCTCTTTCCTTGCAAGTTGCAAGAGTGGCGGAGTGCGAGTATGAGCGCCGCGTAGTTCTGTCGCCAGCGGAACAGAATGCTGTACTCGTATATAGGGTGTCGTCCACACCGATCTGAGCGGAATATTAATGCTCTGCGCTCGGCCACTGATGGGTGTTTTGTTTGTCTGCTGACTCCCCGCCCCCTCAGAGCGGGTGACCTCGAGAAGCAGCAGCCGTCTCTGTCTGTCTCCGACACGGCGCTCCAGGTGATTGGACATCACTGTCTGTTGGCGAAGCGATGCTATCGGCCCGTATACGGCCGCCGACCGCCGGGATGTTTTGTTTTAATTAGTCGTGACCTTTTATGTGACCTTAACCTCGACTAGAACATGATTGCAGTTTGTTAGTAGAATATATGGCAGTCTGGCTACCGTCTTGACATGTGGTTTCAACATTCATCCTCGTGGTATATTGTGAACTTTGTTCGGCCGTATTCATGACATGACTTGCCATGACGACGACACGACAGCACTATATTGCGGTTGGAGTCCAGGCCACGAAGGCCATATAAGCTGACTCTGAATTCCTGCAGCTGTCTGCCCCGTAGAAACAGCCCCATATCACGTCTCCGGTGGGCGGTTAACATCCGTATCCGAGGGCCCCTTCTGACCGCCCCTGACTCAGTTATTGGGGCCGCCACCGCAAACTGAGAAACTTTTGGCGGACTTCTTACGAGAGCCAAATTCATTAGCTCTCCCGGGCAGCCGTCGTCCGCTGAGATACGATCACCGTGACGAGCGACCGCTGCAGACCGGATAAAGCCGGGCGAGTCCCGGCGACGGTCCAAATACAACCTCGCCAGAAACTTCCTCGAACCGTTATAGCATTCTGCGCAGTCTAACCATGAGCCAAGCCATTCATAATTCCCATCGTCTAATGGGCACCTGGCCCGCCCATGTATAAGACCGCTGCCACCACTGTCTAACTCCGTATGTTTTCCTCAGAGCTGAATTACAGACTGGTGATGTCGCCTGCCAGCCTGCCGGCGCACCTACTCAGCCCTGAGGAGGACCAGCCGCCGGCGTCCTCTCCGCGTCACCAGCCGAGCCGGGCGCCCTCCGCCGCCGGCTCCGGCCACCCCGTCCAGCTGGAGCTGCTGGAGGGCGAACTGAACGAGCTGCGGGAGACGCTGAGGGTCGAGAGGGAGCGTGGCGACCGGCTGGCAGCGCACCTCAGACAGGCCGAGGCTGCTGGGAGGTGAGACGGGACAGAGGGGGTGAGGGTGGGACACTGAACTCTAATATATACTGGGAGCATTGGTGACTTGTTTTTGTCTATCGATTTCCGCCATGTTGTGTATACCAGAAATATAAATTACATGTACGGTAGCAGAGGTGCAGTTTAGTGAGAGGTACACTACTCAAAAGTGCTGCTGCTTCATGCTTGCAGTTTGATTGCAGTGATCAACTTTTCAAGACTTTGGTATACACAACATGGCGGAAATCGTTAAACATTCTGGCCCATATACGGCCAAGGCGAGTGCCTCCCCCTGGGGTGGGAGGTGTAGGAAACAGAGAGGATGAGGGTGCAGGCCCAGAAAGGCGAGGGGACAGACAGGCAGAGGCTGCTGGGAGGCGAGGAGGGGACAGAGGGGACGAGGCCGGGGGGTGAGGGGGACAGACAGGCAGAGGCTATACTAGGAGGTGAGGAAGACAGACAGGATGAGGGTGGGAGGTGAGGGGTGAGGGTTAGGGTCGAGGGAAGACTGAGGGGGCGATGGTGCTGGAAGGTGGGGAGGTACAGAAGGGTGAGGCTGGGAGGTGAGGAAGACAGAGTGAGGGCACGGTGACTATAAATAGGTGAGGGGGAGGGCGAGAGAAACAGACAGGCTGAGGCCTGGGGTAAGGAAGGACAAAGGCCGAATTTCAGGGGAAGGCTTTAGGTACTGGCAGGTTGGAAGGTACGGAGGCAAAGACAGGGAAAACAACATAATTTAAATGCGCAGGCCGAGGCAGGCATGTAGAGCCAGAGACAGGCCGATGCTGGGAGGCGATGGCGACAGAGATGGACCGAGGCTGGCAGGTGAGGGAGAAAGAGGCGGACCGAGACTGGGAGGTGAGGAAGAAAGGCGAAGTCGTCTTCAGTGCTATTACCGACAGCCGCCCATTTCTCACAGCCTGACCCGTCCCTTCGTCCCCAGAGAGGTCCCGTCGTCTCCAGCGTCGTCACCAGCAGACGTGACGGCGCTGGAGCAGCGTCTGACCGCTGCCGAGGACACCATCCGCCAGCTGAGGAAGGAGAGGGACGACTGCCAGCGCGAGATCCAGAGGATGCGCGGCAGCGTGCAGTTCCGGCCTCCGTGGAGAGCAGGCGGCCAGCCGGTCCGCCCGCCGCCGCCGCCACAGACCAGCCGGTCAACGACCAAGGCGGCAGGCGCAGCGGCGGCGCAACAGCAGCTGCCGAGACTGCCGGCGGCCAACGGCAACGGAACGGCAAGGTGAGATGGATAACGGCAACGGAGCGGGATAATGGCAACCGAGAAACGGCAACGGAACGGCCAGGTGAGAGATAACGGCAACAGAGCGGGATGCTAGCAACAGAGTGAACGAGATGACAAGTGCCGTATTATCAGCGATGATACCGGTAGCGCCATATACAATGTCGTTTCTTTTCCGAAATAGCGGTATGTTGCCGGCTTCTGAAGGCAAGTGGCAATCGCATGCGGATTGCGGAATGAGGATAAGTGTGGAGTATGGCACTGTGTTAAAATAAGGCTTTTATAGGACTTGCTTTGCCTGTCGGAGGCGGAATCAGTGCACTCGGCGCGAAGCGTCATGCGCTGCTATTTTCACCGCTAGATGTCAGCAGTGGCATGCGCCGTTAGTTATGCTGTACCGCACGACACCACGCCAGATCCCGAGTCGGACGGACTGCAATACCGACGGCATTTCCGATGATCATAAAGATGAATTCAATAACAGATTCAGTGTAATTGATAATTTACTGGATTACTGGAAGTCTTACCAGTGCCAGTGCCTTCTCTTAGTCTTACTGCCGGTTTTCAACTGTTGTTTTATTCCTGCAAGTGTGAATCGTTGCTAGTCTTGTATTGGCACCCAGTCCTATTGGCAGTGTCCAGTCCTACTGTGTGCTACCGCCCGTGTCCAGTCCCGTTGCCCAGTAGCACCCCGTGTCCAGTCCCACTGCCCGGTACCGCCCGCTGACCCCTCCCCTCTCCTCCCCCAGGCAGGACGCGGCTCGAAGCAGCACCGCTCCCGGCCGGGCCGCCGACTCCCGCACGCCGTCCCAGGGCTCCCTACCGGCCCTGCCGCGCAGCCGGGGCCGTCAGAACCAGCCGCCGCCGCCGCCGCCACCCAGACACGGCAAACCGTCGCAGTGACGCCGACGGCGCCGTGTATTTTGTACCGATTCCGCTGTCCGCCGCGCCATCCGCAGTGGCGGGCCGGCCCGTCCGCCAGCCGCGCGCGTGATGAGGTGCCACGACAGTGCTCTCTGCCAAATACGGCTGATGGGGTGCGTGTACGGTCCACGCACACAATAACAGACGCGCCGGTGGTCACATGTATGAACGCTACACAACACCGAAACAGAGAGTGGTCTAATGCTATAAACGCGTCCATGAATTACAAAATAAACCTAAACTGATCGAACAGGAGACAGTTTCTACTGCTGCCTCAGAGGTCGGGGGTAAAATTGTAGCAAGGTTAAAGTCAGGAGACCGTTAGGTTCCGCAGCCGCCGCGGGACGCAGTGAGGGCCGGCGCCGTCCACTATTCCATCTTGGCGGCGTACTGCAGTCCGAATAGGGCTGTGTTGGCCGCCTCAGCCGCCAGGCGCTTCGCTTCCTTCTTGTTACGCGCTGAAAAGGGATAGTGCTTAGTGTCAGAAGAATGGGATGGGTTGTACGCGCTATTTTTAGATTATTTCCCTCCAGCATCTTTGGAAAATCACGTGGTAGTCAACGATGCAAAATATAAAAGAAAATCAATTCAAACAAAAGCAAGCACAGACAGACCACGGGCACAACAGTTTGCTGTCCGAACAATACGCCGTTTCTGCGAAGAAGCTAACTAAACCGCGAACGGAATAGCGTGAATCATTTACCCACACTAGGTCAGTGCCGTTTCCGAAACCCAATACAGGGGTGGGCAGATAAATTGGGACAAATTTCAACTTCCTCTAAAACGACAATTTTTTGAGTTATAAAGATAATTTTTTAACACCAGTATAACGCCTTTTGGGGCGACTAACGGAGCGAGCGAGAGGGTGAGCCTTGCACGTGCGGAATTTCGAGGGGGCACCTCCAACTGACTTGTGCACGGCACCCTACTAACCGGTCTCTAGCAATGTGCCAAATTTGGGCACAATCGGCCCAGCCGTTCTCGAGATCTGGAAGCAGCACCCTGCACGTGCGCACGTGCAAAATGGGTCCCAACTGACTTGTGCACGGCACCCTACTAACCGGTCCCTAACTGTGTACCAAATTTGAGCGCAATCGGTCGAGCCGTTCTCGAGATCTGAAAACGACCCCTGCACGTGCGCACGTGCAACAGCACCCCAACTCTGGCACATGGATATGCAGTGCCTAGTGGGTGCCTACCTACATGCCAACTTTGAGCGCAATCGGCCAAGTAGTTACCGAGATATTGCAACAATTGCAAAACTGACACCTCTTCGTTTTGCACGTGGCACGTGCATAAGGGGTCACCCACATGCATCGGGAATAGTCCAATACTTGGTAGAAGGAATGAAGCTACCCTACAAAAATTACCGCATGTAAATCGGTCAAGTGGTTGCTGAGATATAAGCCTCGCAAAAGCGTCCGCACGGCCGGCCGGCCGGCCGGCCGCTCGTACTCAGAAATTTCCGTTAATCTAAGTAAAGACTCCGCTCGCTTCGCTCGCTCCGTAATAAATATAGGCTAATGAATACTTTTCCATGTTATGCAGGTTGCGTTGTAATTTTGAGTCGGCTGGTCACAGAACGTGGGCTTAAGCAAGCCACTATCAACTTAGTTCGCGCGCACATGCATGCCAATACTCTAATTATGCTCCATCAAATGGCTGAAAGTAGTGTGTATCGAACAGACGTAAACGTTGGAGGAAGAGAAGATATTGACTCAACCTTACATACCTATTGCATTGACACCGGCCGCTCCCCCGGCTTTCCAGGGGGGCTAAAAGGCAAAATTCAGTTAAATCAGAGGATCCTCGCGAAAACAGTGGCGCGAGCTTACAACGAAGGTGGCCACGCCATCAGAAAGCGATATACCAGCACCTCAAACATGCACTCTTAGGCATTGATGCATATCAACCTGTTAACATGGATGTTGAAGCAGCTGTGACGTTGAAAAGATTGTTTCCTCTTGAAGGGCTTGGAGAAGCGAGCAAGCACGTGCAGGTCTTTTTCGATGATGGTATCCCCATTACCGAACATATGAACAACCGCAAACACCATGTAACATCGCAACCAGCCCAGAAGACGTGATCTTCGTTCCAAAAAGCATGCAGCAGACATCGGTGATGGCATTCCACTCGGTGACCTCTGACGGTCACGTGAGGCCCCCTTATTTTACGGAATCGGGAGGGGGTTCGCCATTACAGCGTACCTAACCATTATTCCGGCAGTTTGAATCAACAAGATGGAAGAAGGCAACATCCTGCATGGAGTGATGCTCTTCGAGGAGTCAGCTCCCCGGCATACAGTAAATTAACTACAAAATCTCCTGAAACGGAGGATCCCGCAAACTGTACCCAAGGGAAAATGCCCCCTTACTCATTAAACCTCAGCCCACACAAGTTCTGGTTGCTGGGGCGTTTTTGCGGGTGAGTCTAACGAACGTCCCCATGTGACTGTGGTGAGCCTCAGCAGTGCCAGTTGGCAACAATTACGAGCCATTTCAGACGGGAGATCTCGCCGCGCGTGCGGCCAGTCCAGACACCGAAAAGCACTGATGCAGGTGCACCACGGTGACCATATTTGGTGATAAATGTGTAAAATTGGTGTGACAATATATGATCCAAATTTGAAATGCCTATGTTTACAAATTTCTAAGCTATGGCGTTCTGAATGTAAATATGTATTTTGTCCCAATTTATCTGCCCAACCCTGTATATGGCCATCGGTCAGACCCAGTCCTGAACAGTGAATAGGCCACCAGCCGTCAACCATTCCCCAGCCGCCAAGCCCCTCCCGGAGCGCCCCCCCCCCCCGACACCCACCGGTGGCGGTGAACTGTTGCCCGTCCACATTGGCCGTCATTGTGATGCAGTGCTCCACCCGACCCTCGGCCGAGTGTCGCTCCTGCGGCTCTGAAGCCTCGAACGTCACCGTGGGCCGCATCTCGTGCAGCAGCATCACCGCGTGCCGGGACGCCGCGTCCGTCGGCAGCGTCTTGGCCGGCTTCTGCTTCGGCTGGCGACAGAGGAGTGTCGGCGGTCAGCTCAGCAAGAACACAGGGAGATGCACAGATAGTGATTATGGGAGCATGTTGCGAATACATGTTTACCCTATTAATTTGGCAGGCACTTCGTCCATGTCATACCGTATACAAAATGCCCACATATTTCACAGGTGTAACAAAGAAAGTCCAACACAGATTCCTTTAACTACTTACCGTAGCCGGTTTGGCGGCAGCAGCACCCGCCGGGGCGGCGTTGTTGGCTGCGGGGGTGGCCGCAGTAAGAGCCGCTGACAGCTGGGCAGCAGGGGTGGGGACGCCGGGAGCGACGCCGGCTGCCAGCGGCGGTCCGGCCGACTCCACACTCAGCGGCGTGCCCACCCGGCCCTGACGCCAGTCGCAGAACAGCTTGTGCAGCGCAAAGCTGGCCAGCGCCGACCAGGGCGTGGTGTCCTCCGGGCCGTCCCCGTCCGCCTGCTCGCCGCCCGCGCCGGCCGGCTCGGTGGCGGGCTTGGTGGCTTCTTTGGTGTCCTTGGTGGGCACGAACGACTGGAGCGCCCTCTCGGCGGCGGCGGCGCGCGCCAGAGCCTTGTTGCTGCCCATGCCCTGGTACTGCTTACCGTCCACCTAGAGATGGCGGGGCGAAACGGAACGGGAAAGATCGCGGGAGTGTGACTGCTGAAAATATATTTCTTTCTAGACTAAAACATTGTATGAAAGACGAAAGCCGTGTTAAGAAGAATCATAACAAAGGGCTGACTGGATGCTTATCCAAAAAGATAACAATGAAGTCATACCAGACAAGGGTAAAAAGACTGAGTAGAAAGCACTCGTAATAAAACGAAACAACACGGTACACGTTCCACCCAAGAAATACGCCCTTCTTCACGGAAAAAGTACGCTGTCGTCCGGATCCAACTATCAAAGTAAAAAAAAAAAAAACTAGCCTACGACACGGGTCCAATAAGATTCGCATACTCAAAGAACGAAGCGAATTGCCGGACATCTGCCAGGTCAAACCGCTAACAAAACATCGGCCAGATCCAGCCTCTACCGACAGCACAGTTAATTACAGAGCAGTGTGCCATAGCTGTTCCGCCTCTCAGCTGAGTTCGCACAGTAGGATCGTCTGTCACCTACCTCCACCACTGCTGTGAACATGGGCGGCGTGGCGCCGGCCACCGGGGTCAGCTGGTACTGCACCCCGGACCGGATCTCCTGCAGCACCACAGTCGCGTTCTTGGGTGCCACCTGCTTCCGCAGTTTGCGCTGCATCAGCTGCTTCTTGTCCTTTTTGCTGACACCGGCCGAGGCTGTTAGACGGAGCGGGTCAGGGCAGCAGCGCACACACGGCACTAGGCAGCGGCCGCCGGCGGTGGCGCGCCGACCAGCGGCGGCCCCCGCCGGCGGCGCGGCGCGAGCGCCTCAGAGCGACACCTTCCCCACCCAGCCCGGCGGCCAGCGGTGCCGACTCCGAGGGACGCCCGCCTGCCGGACGGCATCCGTCAGCGGCGGCACATAGACGGTATCCGTCAGCACACACCAGTCAGCGGCGGTATAGAGAGCGGGAGCATATCCGTCGGCACGGCACATAGACGGTATCCGTCAGCACACACCAGTCAGCGGCGGTACAGGGACCGGGAGAACAACCGTCAGCGGCGGCACATAGACGGTATCCGTCAGAACAACCGTCAGCGGCGGTACAGAGAGCGGGAGCATATACGTCAGCGGCGGCACATCGACCGCGGAGCACGCCCGTCCAAACACAACCAGCTGAATCAAACTGTTGGGTTTTAAGAGTCCGTCGAAAAGTGCATCACGGGTGAATTACCCTATACCACTATATACAACAAATCCCCTTGAGTTAAATAATTGACCCTGTCGCAACTGAATTAAAAAAAAAATGAGAAGATATAGGGATGTGTCGGTGTGTAAGTAAATTGTTAATGTACTTTACAAGAGAGGAATAACCCTCTCCGTGCAAAGCGAGATTCTGATAAAGGCAGCTCGAGCCACCAGCACCCACCCTTCTTCAGTTTGAGGAAGAACTCTCGTTTTTCGGCCTTGAACTGCTCGAGGTCGATAGGCGAGTCAGCGGCGTTCATTGCCACGTCTCCATCCTTGTCGACCTTATTGTTGGCCTCGGGCTTCACGGCCGCTGGAGCCATCTGAGCCGGCTGCTGCAATCAGCAGGCTCAGTGTCAAACGTGGGGATGATGCCAAACAGTCATTTTTAGGTCCAGGTAAACACTGTTCTCGTCATGGATAGGCAATAGGCATGCTACATTGATACAGTCAACGAGACAAAGGGGTTTCTGAAAGAGCGTAAGCCGAGATGAATGGCCGAAACGAAACAAACACAAATGCAGGAAGGCGAAACAGGCTGGCTTAACCCTCGCCCCGTTGGCGGGGGGGGGGGGGAATATGCCCTCCCCCTGTGGTTTTTCCTGAATAGCAAGAAAACGGCGACGCGCAGAGCCGCCACATTTTCAGTATCTACCTTCCCGGGCATCAATTTGACACCTTGACACAAAAACTTCAAGTTATTTAGGTCACCTTAGGTCAGTGTCCCAAAATTGAGTTTTGTCTTGGGTGTCAGAGGGGAAAATTCCCCACCAAAAAACAGGGGAGATAGTGGAAAACTGCTGATTCGAATAGATACAAAAAGAGTGAGAAACGGCATAAAGCAGGCATTTTATTCTAGGGTGTAGAATGTTTGATGCTAAACCGGGCATCCACACAATTGCTCTTTTTTATAGGTAAACTATCTAGGTTTTCGTGGTTGGGAGTGGAAAATTGTTGTTAAAAATTGCTGGTGAGAGTGGAAGATGAATTTCATTTGGATGTTGTTTCTCACCCAAATCGACAAATTTTGGGACATTGCCTTAGGTCAGCAGTTACTGAGGTCAAACTGAGGTGTTCCATATACGCTATAGTTCGTTTTTTTTTAACCGGTTTGGCTCCAAGTAAGATTTTTCGATTTAGCACGCATTTTAGTCAGCGAGAAGGGGCAAACACTGAACCCGAGAAAATTGAACCTGACCTGAGTTTTGCATGTGAATTATTCCCGATCAATTCCATACATTCGTTTTGGAACTACAGATATGAGAACAAAGTGATGTAACGCTGTCCAACTTGCATTGCAATGTAATGTATAACTACCATCGACAGAACAGCTTACTCGACTCTAACCTCGGTAACAGTGAAAAACGAATGTTTCCTAAAATTCGTTGACACTTTGTGTCATCGTACGGACACTGCGTGCCAGCTACCACGAGTGACGTCATGATAGTATGCTAATTTTTTGAAGACAAAATTTCCATTTATTTATCGAACACTATTTGAAGTTGAATATTTTAGCGGTAAAAGTTATGGGCCAGACGCTAAAATTGCCAGAACTCACATGAAAGCTTCAATAATGAACTTAGAGCGAAAACGGCCAAAACCAGTAAAACACCTTTTGGGGCGACACACGGAGCGAGCGAGGGGATGGGCCTTGTACGTGCGAAATTGCAAGGAGGTACCTCCAGCTTGTGCACGGCACCCTACTAAACGGTCTCTAGCGATGTGCCAAATTTGAGCGCAATCGGCCCAGCCGTTCTCGAGATCTGGAAGCGGCACCCTGCACGTGCGCACGTGCCAACTGGGTCACAACTGAGCTTTGTACGGCACCCTACTGCGTCATGCACGTGGCACGCGCTTAAGGGGTCACCCACATGCATCGGGAATAGTCCAATACTTGGTAGAAAGAATGAAGCTAACCTACAAAAATTACCGCAAGCAAATCGGTCAAGTGGTTGCTGAGATATAAGCCTCGCAAGAGTCCGCACGGCCGGACGGCGCTCATACTCAGAAATTTCCGCTAATCTACGAAAGACTTCGCTCGCTCCGTAAAAAGCTTAAGTTATAGTTGCCTTAACATGAAAAAGGCCCTCCAAGCAGACATAACTGCGCATGCGATTTCGTTCTCCCAGCAAAACTCGGTCAATTTGTCCCAAAATACGGAAAACGGCACGCCCGCGTCTCCGCACACTAAATGCTTCCCTTCCGAACACAGAAGTTTAAAACAGGCTAGTGAAAACGCAATTGGTACAGGTGATTTTACTAATGGTCCTTTCGGGCATAACCTGAGCTCGACACATAAGGAGCCTTGTGTGCCATATTACCTACTTTGTTGAGTATTTTGATATGTGTGATAAAATACCGGTCGTAATCGTTATATTAGTTAGCACACGTCCTTCCAAACTCCATTCGTGTCAAAATCCCCCACGTCTCTCTACACTGACCCAGAAGATAGTAACCAACTTTTCCACGTTTCGTGCACAATTTCATGCGTTGATAAATGCGTCGTACTTCCACTACAATCTGCCTACCTAGCAGGGCATTCTTATGCATTTTATCTTCTAACCATCGATCCTGTCCTGTCCGTCCCCCAGTCTCCCTACGGTCCCCACTCCCCAGCCCTTAGACACCCCGACCCCCCCCCCCCGCTCCCCCGGCAGTCCGTGCCCCACTGACCTGCTGTTTGGTCGGAGTGACCTGCTGCTGGGTTGGGGTGACCTGCCGTTGGGTCGCAGTGACCTGCTGTTGGGTCGGGGTGACCTGCACCAGCGGAGAGTTGTGCCGTGGCACTGAGCCGCCACTGACAAAGTTGTGATTCAGGTGCTGCTGGGCCGGCTCTGTGCAGCAGGAGAACAATCATACAGATGTCACAGCAGTCGCTGAAGACACAAGGTGATCAAAACCAGTCTAATAAATTCATGAATGAAACAATCAAATTCAGGACTGAGTGATTTCAGGCACAGCAAATGTGTTCAATCAAATCAATGCACCAAATGTTTAGGTAATAAGTACAATAGTTAATATGACAATGGTTTGTAATAGGTACTTGTGTGTGATAATAACTGCAGGCTGATGAATGTAGCAGAGAATTCAAAGCAATAAGAATTCTGACTTGCTGGATTTAGACCTTGTCACTGAGCACTGAGTATGGTAATCCCAGCTTAGCTTTATGGGCACAAATACAACTTACTTGATGTTCTAACACTAGTTCTTGTATACCGATAAGCCATTTTGAACAAGGTGGGTGGAGAGTCTTTGAGAGGTGGGTGGTTCAAGAATCTTGGGCCTCAGCCACCTGAAAAAAGGAATTTAAACATAGATTGAAGCTTTCAAGAGCGGATAATTGTCATAATACCAGGGGGTGCTTTTCCAGCACCTGGCGAATGGAAGCGACCAATTCTTGCGTAGAAATTAGAAAAGCTACCCTTTCCCCAGACTGGAAAAAATACACGTTATGCCGAATATGTCCGGCGTAGTGGCGGGATTGCGCCGAAAATGTAAGCGCACGTCCGGCGTAACTTCGCATGCGCAGAATTCAGCGCATGGCGGCGGACGAATTTTTCGGTGCAGGGCGGTCGCATAATTTTTTGGCGAAAGACAGTCACCGAATTTATGCGGTATGCTGGTCAATCTAGCAGCAGATTCGCCCCGTGGGCAGCTCTGGAGAGGTTGCGGGACGAAACGTCCCCGCCCCGGTCGTCGCGTGCTCGAACTGACGAGCCGCCCTGAGTCTACTCAGCGGAGGAACGGCCGCCCAGGTGAGGCCTCAACCTTCGGCGTAGAGATAGACATGGAAAACCTTGTTGAACGTCGCCAAGCGTCGTTAAGCAATAGCAGTGGGTTTCTGCCCACTGCAGTATCGAGGGGAATGAGAGCGTGGACGATCTGGCAAAACTGGCGGCCGCCCTGCCCTCAAACGCCCGATCGCTGACCAGGGCGGTTCATTGTCTGGCCTCGTATCAGTGGCGCGACAACTGCTCAGAATCACTATTCAAGCCACTCCTCGGGAGCACGCCGCCGCTCCCTCTCCCCGGAGAGGACCGAGAGAATGCCATTTCGGTGCACCAGATGAGGGCGGGCCACCGGGGCCGCTCGCTCCAATACGGCACCGAATCGGCTGTCTCCACTCCGCCGCGTGCCAGCAGTGCCCAGACAAGCGGTGCCCAGCGGCGCTCTGCACCGTGAGCCGAGGAGAGGCTGATGTGCCGGAGCACTGCTGCTCTGCTGCCGGGCCCTCGCTAGCTCCAGTCGAGGAATTGGGTTTACGTGGAAATAAAAACTAATTCGGATGCTCAAACATGGGATAGCGTACAAAGCCCCGAAACACTCTGCCTGGTTGATATAGCCATGGATGAGATAATAATGGATTGGTGTCTTCGCAGTTTTTGGCGACATTGAGCTCAGGCCTGCCATCTAGCGGGAGAATTATCGTAAGTTAGGAGCAAGCCGAGTGAACGCCGCTGATTAGCATTGTGACACACGGGAGTGTGGTGTAGTAGCAGGCTTGTTGTGCAATTTTTTAAATGGTTATGTCTTTATATGTCAGTAAAAGCGAAGAAATTAATAGATTTATGTGCAGGGTCAGTAATAAGATAAGCAGTTCCATGTTATTTCCTCATTAAATCGTGAAACAGGGAGTTATTGGAGACTTAGCCAGCACGTGTCGTTTTCGCTATTTTTCACATGAGTCTTTACTTGGCCCAAATCAAATAAATTGTCCGATCAAAGAACAAAACGAACGTAAGTACTATCTTTAAGTCTAATGAAAAAGTTAAACGGTATTGCTAACGTCATTGCCGCTCAATATGTCATTCAAGACGCTCTATGAAAAGGACCCAACCAGTGCTGCGTAGTCGATGAAATTTCAGTGACTTTGGCTCCAACTCCGATTCCGGTATCCAAATATCGACTCCGACTCCTTCGGGCAGAACTGTCGATTCACACAGACTCCGACTCTGCATCCCTGGTAAGTCTGTGGAGTCGATGACTTTTCGGTGACGTTCGACTCATACTCCGACTACAGCTTTTAAAAATCAACCGACTCCGAGTCGGAACAGAACCGCTGGCTCTGACTACAGCTCCGCAGCCCTGGCCCAAGATAGCCGCCTAAAACAACTTTGATGTGTGATCTTCTTCGTACATTGTTAATGTTATTTTGAACAAGGAGTGGAAAAGGGAGACGAAGCCTTCACAAACAAGGATCTCCTGTTGCGGATCAATCAGCTGCTGGAACAGAAAGGCATAAACACCACGCATCTCATTTCATCGTTTTCCTAACGACTCCAATGTAAGCACTGATCAATGCAGTGCGAGCATCGATGTGACAATTGTGTACCAAGTTTGAGTGTTATCCGCCCAGCCGTTCTTGAGATATGGAAGCGGCACCCCGCACGTGCGCACGTGCAGTAGCACCCCCAGTGACACATGGAAATGCATTGGCCATTGGGCGCCTAACTATTGACGAAGTTTTACTGTAATGGGCCCAGCCATTGCGGAATTACTTCATGTGGAACAATTTCGACACCCCTAAGTTGGCACGTGACACGTGCCGTTACATTCACTACAGATGAAGAAAATCGGGCGAAATTCGGAGAAGAAGGAATAAGCCTACCAAAAATGAATGACATATTGTCAAACTGCTGTGCCATTGTGAGTAAATGGCCATATAAAAGCTTGTTCAAGCCGATGGGACTGGGCGTTTCAATACACACCGTCTTACGCATTTTATTTTCGTTTTTACCTAAAGGCTGCTTGATGTTTTTGGCTTTCAAGCATTTAAGACATTTTTTGTCGTCTCAGGTCCAGTAAGATTATCTCCAACTCGTGGGAATATGCACTTCGAGTCAACTAACACACCACACCCACGTGTGTCATAATGCTGAGAGATGGCGTTTACTCGTCTTGCTCCTAACTTACGATAATTCTCTCGCTAGATGGCAGGCCTGATCCCAATGTCGCGGATCCCAATGTTAATTTCCACGAGACACCAATCCAGTGTTATATCATCCATGATATAGCCTTGATCAGTGTATGTGTACATGTGCTTTATATGAAAAGGGCTTAATTTTCGCACAAATAGGCACCTAATTTTTGGCGCAAATCACTCAGAAATTTCGGCGCGAAATCGATTGCGCCGAATTTCGGCGCAAAATGGTCTCACGGCCCACGGGCATCCGGCGTAGTGTATGGATGTTTTCCAGTTTGGCGTTTTCCCAACAGCAGCACTCTCCTCGTGACTTATGCAAAGCATCTTGTGTCTCAGACACAATTTAAGCAGCCACTGGAGCACTATAATATTGTGACCTTTGAATTTCAGGGGGTGCTTGAGCACCCCCAATTCCCAAACCCCCTAATTCTCCGCCCCTAGAAGCTTTGCACTGTGTGTAACCTAAGGGAATTGCAATCAATGCAATGTGTTCAACTTTATATACAGCACACCTATGGAAATTGTAGCAGCCCTTAGTTTTAGATATGAAGATCTATTTTCATTATGATTATTTAAATCTTATGCTTATAATCCTGGAAATGTATCGATCACATACCGGGGGCAAGGTTTTCCCTATATTGTCCTGCTATATCTTTCCTTCGTTCTGATGAAATTTCTTAGTGAATGTGCAAGATAATTTAATATAAATGGTTATTCAAGTAAAACTGACAAAGCAAATTACCAAATAGCAAAATTTATATAAAAAATACACAACCTCTTACACCGCACCACAAACGCCTCGACAGCCAAGAACGCTGACAAAATCAATAGTGCTGACAGTGGTGCTGACTAATATTTACACAAAAACTACTGTGTCTTCGAATGATAAGGATGTTGCTAAAAAAAGTTGCCATCTAAAAGTTGAGAATTTTATTTTTCCAAAATAAACAAAATTCAGAGAAGTAATCAAAAATAAATTTTACTAAACCACCTGCTGAAAAACTCATATACGACGCGAAAGTTTCAAAAACGGTTTTGAGCAATTGTGTTCAGCTTTTACCTTAAGCAAATCAGTAGATTTTACACCAATCAGCATCATGTATTTTTCCTCGTTTAGAAATGCAAGCTGTAGCAATGTTTTCATCTTATTTTTTTCGACCTTCATATGAAAACTTTTTGCGTATTTTACATCAAAACTAAAAAAAATGTTAATAGTTTACGCTTTCCTCAGAAAGGAGACCTTTAATAAATAAAATCTAACTTTGCATGAAAAACTAAAATGAAAAAGCACAGGAAAACGATTCTGATTGAACAGAACATTTCAAGTCAGGTTTATTTTCTTATGCATTATTCTTCTGGGACTTTACGTAGGTATATGCCGTGAGGTGACGTTTGTTATAATTTACAAAAACTATTTAAATTGCCACACTCAGTTTCCCACCAATGGTTGTTTTGAACCCAATATAACCAATGAGGTACATTTTATTGTTTGTGTCAGGCAAACTGCTGATATCCAAGCCAAAGAAAGACCCCCCAGCAAATCGATGTCTCGCTTTTTGGCCAAGTTATAGCGAAAAAATTGTTCAAAAATGATTACGTCAAATTTTTTAACTCAATTTTTAGCGATTCTAGACCACGTAGGGCAAAACAAAGACCACCATTGAACTCCCCGTGATGGGCTGCATCGAATCGATAGGTACCCATTTAATGCAAAAATATCAACTTTGAAATTTAACCTAATTTGACCTGACCTTGACCTGACCTTGACCTGACCTGGACCAAAACGTGACCTAAGCTGGCTCCAAAGGGTGCCTGACCCACATAATCGCATTTGTCATGTAAAATGGACCATAAAACATGTATTACACGATACTTTCATATTGTGACCCCCAGTGACCTGACCTCTGTGACCTGACCTGGTATCAGTGACCTCAAATAGCAAAATATGTGTTTGAAGAACATTTCCCCATCAGTGATTTTCAATTAAATGCATTTTACTCGATTTTAGAACGCATTTCTTGAAATGCCTGTAAACGCTGAAAATTCGACCTTTGACCTGACTTGTGACGTCATCGGTTTGATCAAGGTCAATAAAATTGGGTCACAAGGTAGTTCCTTGATAGGGCTATCCAACACCGTTTGGCGTTTGCTGCTTGTCGCTAGGTTGCGTGGTTCTTGAGATCTTAGGGGGGGCAAATTGCCCCCCCCCCCAATAGGGCTCGTTGCTCGGCAGAGCCCAACGGGGCGCGGGTTAAGCACATTAACTAACATGCTTATCTATGCCATTAATGCTAAAAAGTTTGTTAACAAAGAACAAGGAGACTGGATAAAAAGCAAGTAGAACAGGATTGCTTTTCTAAGTTCTTCCAAATTGACGAGAGAGAGCACAAGATGCTATATGGATATGGTACTTAAGACTTAAGAGTTAAGTATGATACCTTTCGTTGCACCAGGCATTACTCATTTTGTGTATCCTCTTCCCATTTGCACCACTGCTAGCTGCAGGGCCCATGGCACAGCTGCCCAGCTGTGTTGATAGCTCTCCAGCTTCCTTGTGTCATGTGTGCATGTGCCTGATGCTTTGTACAGTGTATGAGTAGTATGTCATTCAATTCCAGGACATATCGATATTGGGAATATTGCTTGACATGCCTTTCAATTCCATTCCAGGACATATCGGGAACATCGCTTGAAGTAACATCACCAGGTAAAAGACAATTATCCAAGATTCTGGAGCACTGAACTTTGATCATCATACTTAACTGCATGTTAAAAATCTGAGTTTCTCTTGAGACGACCCAGCGAACAAATGTCTCCTGGACATACATAATCGCACGCTAGATTACAGATCATGGGCAGGACCTCGGCCTAGTAAGCCGCTCAGTCTTCTCGAGCCCGGTGTTTACAATGCCAGCTGTCTCACTTGGGTACAGTCCACTTCAGGTGGAAGCTCAACGGCTAGGAGCGCGAAGATCAACCAGCCCAGTCGGCACCCTAGTCCCAGTCGTCCAAGGGCTTTCGCAAATGTCAACCTTAGGTGCTCTGTCATCTGTGCCGGCTGGCCTCGGTAACATTACGCACCCTTCAGTCATCACCTCGGGCTTATGATTCGAACGTGGAGTGTAGCGATTGAAGGTTGAATCTCGTCGTTTTGCCCCGAAATTCTTAAATCTTAAATCGCTCGTTTGCGCCGAAATTTCTTAATCCATCTGTGCGAAGGAATAATGCCGGACGCTGCGACGAAACTTCGGTCCAATCCGCACCTTACGCCGGACTTGTCGACTTTAACTTGGATTTTTTTTCCAGTCTAGTTCGTCCCTTTCCAAGTCGGGGCCTTTTTCATAACGTGGACGGCCAGGGGGTGCGAGTTACGACCCCCTGGCGATTGGCGTCTATGGCACTTATAAACACCAAATTTACAGGGCAGGTGGACCCGTAGGAAAGCATATTAAATCTGTGCAAATCTGGTGATAAGGTTAATATTTAGAGGGAGTTTGGGTGGTATAAATGTGAAAATTTCGCTAAAACATGTCAAACATTTTTTGCTGATAACTTTTGATCTAGTAAAGGTAGGTAGTGCAAAATAAAAGCGCCATTGAACTCAGTATGTCAATGCGCATCAAATGCTTTACTTTTCACAAGTTTAAGAGAACTTTTTTGTTCCCTAAGCGATAAGTTCTGGATCAAGGGCAAATGGTTGTTTTAAAGGTTCGATTGAGCTACTTTGCCTTGGCTACTGTAGGCTTTTAGGCCTTAGGCTGTTTGGTTGGTACTAGTTTTGTCAGGGTGTCTAGTCTATGATACATATAAAGAGCGGACACGTTGCCCAATTTTTACCTTTATGACCGGCATGGCTTATGTACCATGTAGTGCCTTTATTTGAGATACCATTTCTTCTTGGGACAACTGTAAATAATATCGATACTTAATACCGATCTGACGCTGCAAACGGAGAACGGAGTTGAGGCTGGTGTCTTATGTTTCTGAAGGCACTTTTCCAGCTTTCAACTGCTTTACCGTGATACACGACAACCATTGTTCTGGAGACCTAATATGTTGAAAGCTGTTGTGTCTTAGAGCTAATGATAGATCGAGTAGCGCAGTATTTGTGTTCTGGCTGCTGAATGAAAAAGTCAATTTTCAACAATGGAATCAGGGATGCGGAGCCGTGGAAATTTCAGACGGCTCCGGCTCCGGAGAAAAATCGGCTCCGGCTCCGGGTGAAATGTCATGGCGGCTCCGGCGGCTCCGGCTCCGGCTCCAGCTCCAGTACTCAGTACATCCCCTATGCAATTAAATACGGATGGAACAAAAAAGACAATGAGATTGGTACACGTTGCTTCTGTATTTGCATAACAAGGCTATTTTGAATACCACATGTACTGTCACTGCCTTGTACTGTCAAACCGAACTAGGTACGTCAATCATTTTTCCTCTTTAAAAAAAAAAAAACAGGAGCCGTAGTCGCCCCCTTTTTTGACGGCTCCGGCTCCGGCTCCGCACCCCTGATTGGAATATCTGACCAGATGTGCCTATGTTAAACAGTCTCACTAAAGCCCAATGTCTCAACTACACTAGACCTCAAATTCCTATGTTCTAACCTTCATGATGCACATATCTTTCTCTTCCATGCCTCAAACTCCCTGTTTCGGGCTAGACGCTCACCTTTATCCGACATGAGTAGCTCCATAGGGCTTTGCTCCAGCTCATTGTTCAGTGCACACGTGCAGTGGGGTGACTGTTAGCGGGACTGGGTGGCCTGTCGTCCGTCATGACGGGCTCAGTCTTGGCGGTGGAACAGGGTGGCCGCCCAGACCAATGTCCTCCCCCAATTCCTATCATCATTCCGGCTCGAAATGGTCTCATTTGACCGAGAAGGCCTAACCCCACCAACCACCAAACATCGATCAAAAATCAAACCAACTATTGCCGTAGATACATGAGCAGGTTTATATGCATCACAAACATATTTAGCACTGAGCTTTGCATATCAATTGCATTGCAATTGCAATGCAAAGCTTAGTGCTATGTCTGTTTGTGATTAAAAAGCGTTAATCCTTTTGTAATGTGGATTTACTTTGCTCTTACCTATCTGCATTAAATTGCAGCTCGTTATAAGTTATGTATGTAAGGCATCTACATATGTCTATTGTCTACCATCTGTAAAAAGTGACTATTTTTATATCTATAAGCTCTGCTCTCGTGCACTCGGTACCGTCTAACATCATTGTTTCCCGACTCGGTCGCCAGGTGGTGCATCCATCGATCGTTTGTATTCTGAGGGCGAGCGGAGCTCGGACGGGCAGCACCATGGGTCACTGGGTGTCACGCTACTACACGGACCCCAACTACTCGCCGGATCACACCCAGCCGTCCAAGTTCGAGCCCGGCTTCGGCTTCCAGGGCGAGCGGAAGGAGAGGGGTAAGTTGGGGACGACTACCGCCAGGGGGACGGGTTCTGTCGGGGAAGCCGAGCTTAGGCGACTTTCAGCTGCCCCGATTATGGGCATTGCATAGTGAGGTGATCACGTGCTTGGTTGTGAACTGACGTATTGTGTGGAATGGTGGAGGTAGGACTGGGTGCACGGAGCAGCATAGGTTAATTCAGGTTGTAGTTGTAGTTCTGAACTCCCATATAGATGTCGTCTCCGTCAAGAAGCGGCACATTCCCGACTGAGGCTGCTCTTAAAACGTTGTCACCATGCGTAGCGAACATCGTGCTGGCGAAATTCACCAAGGTTTCAGTATAACATTAAACGTTCCGGAGCTCATCGTACGCAACGGATATGGGTCTCCTGAACATATCCCTACCCTCTGCCATTTATAAGCCCTAACCTATGTAACCTGGCTGACCTAGGACCCTATGACCCAGCTGACCTCTTACCCTGCTGACCTCTGACCTGGCTGACCTCTGAACCCCGCTGACCTCGCTCCGTCAGAAATGATTGCCACTGAGGAGGAGATGTCCAGCGCCAAGCTGCACCCTCGGGACCGCGACTACTGCGCCCACAAGCTGATCGCCTTCAACGCCTGCAAGCGCAAGGAGTGGCCGCTCGCCTACAAGTGCGCGCACGAAAAGCACGAACTGATGAACTGCCAGTACGAGGAGTGAGTATCGCACGGGCGGGGTAGGCGTGCCAGGCGTTAATGGCTTATGGCGTATGCCCCTTGTAACGATGGCAAACTTGTTAATTATGCTTAGATGCTTCAGACATTGGTGCTTTCACGATGAAAACCTGGCGCATTAATATCTTGATCACTCTAAATTCATGCGAGAACATATCACTAAACACGGTACAGTCTTACATAAACTGTGGTTCCTTTACCTAGGCATGTTGCTAAGACGGATTAATTCCCATCTTGCGCTTGTTTTAACGGTTATGGGTGCGACACGACCACGGAGAATTAGTTGTGTCATTGACCGTTTCAATCGCTTAGCCCTCCTGAAAGGATGTCATACCTTGTACCTCAGTGTATTCTCCCCCGACTTATGTTGGTGTCACTGCCCTCCGATGATGACCTGCGGTCATTGGCATGGACCACCCTGGCGCGTGTAAAAATGACAGCCGAAATACCGAACACCGGTTATGGCGTGTACACTTTTGTATATTTTTGCATGTTCTGTTAGATCTCACGAGATCTCATGAATTTTGAGATCAGGACCTTGCGCAACATCATCCGGTTAGGGCTAGTGCAAAATGCGCAACTTCCTTCTCTCAGGAATGCGTGCTGCGTTTATGAAACACGAACCAGTGTCGTTTTTATTTAAAAGGTTACAGCTGCGTGTAAGAAATGAAAGCCGTTCTTCGGTATAATCGTCTTCATGCAAGTATGGCGTCGTATTTCGCACACAGACCGGTATTTAGGTAGTATTTCTCTCTGCCTCATCCGAGAGCTCAGATGTTCTTGTTTCTCCCCGTGATTTTTCGCCAGCGTGATATGTCCTGTAGGCGATGTTTCGTCAAAGTCCGGACAGAACATGCCGTTTGGCTGGTTTTCAACAAAAAAGAAATCGTCTTCAATTTGCTGATTAACTATGAGAAGTTTATGAACTGTGAAGTGTTGTTCTTTTTACATTCAACTTTTTGTCGTGTACGGGGACCCGCAGTTGCTACTGTACAGCGACCCTGAGTAAATTGTCCCAGCACCCTCACAGGGAACAACGATAAGCTGTCAGAGGGCACGCACAGAAAACCTCAGCTGCTCTTGTACAGGGACCGGCAGTCGATATCAATGTTATCGGTTGTTACTGGACAGGACAGACGGCTAAAGTTGGGGTTCGTGTACAGTAGCAACTGCGAGCGAGCAATCCCGTACGAGCTCATAATGTAATTTTGATAGCTATCTTGGATTTCTGCTAAAACAATTTTATTTTCTCTTGACGATCGGGGCTGAAGAGTGATCCTCTTTGCTCTCAGTTCAAGAAAACTAAGTTATCTGGTTGGACCCTTTTCCAGTGGTTGACCTTGGTAGGAGGGTATCGGCGGGTCCGAATATGCGCACAATCTAGACGTCAACCTAGCTGTAAGCACCTGTAAGCCGCAAAGTCAACTGTGGTTGACATTGAGGAGCGCGTGTTTTCAATCACCACGATCGCGCGCGAGTTGATTGCGGAGATAGGCTACCGACACTGGTACCTCAGCGACCCTGATCTTGGCGCTCTTTTGTACGTCACTCGTCTACGAGCATATTCACCATCGTGCTATCGCCGATAACGCACTATACCCAAGGCAATGAAGCATACCAGCTTAGAAACAGACATACCAACATACGAAAGGTTTCAAAATCGTGCTTGCAACCGCAATACGTTACGACTTGTTTTCTGACAAATCAAACGCTGAAAACAAAACCGGGCTTTGCGGTCAGGTGTGGAGTCAGAGTGTCAGATAGGAAGTTATTGAGCACATGTTTGGCGTTCGTATATTTTAATTTGGGTCTTATTTTAATTCATTAACTTGCCATCTCTGCGAATATCGTATATTGCGGGTCACTGCAGGTCGCAGTGGCGGACACTACGTCTCTCGTCCAACGCGGCCTCGGAGCGGCGCAGTATCAAAATTTCCACACTCTCCGTCTAACGGCGAATTTTGCCACACATGGAGTCGCTGCTCGGCACGAATCCGACCCACCTTCCCATGAGACTGGTCACCGACAAAACTGCACGCCGACGTGCGGAAGGACTTGCGGAACCGAGATAGAAAGTGGCGCAGCGACTGCCGGCGCCCGGCGCCGGTCCGGTTCGTTGCGATACGGCCACGAGACGCGCCGCTCGTTGCTCCATCGGCCGGTGCGCGGCATTCTCGGCGGTGGTTTGTCTCATTTCGGGCTTTGTCTGCAATATTGGGACGTGCTGATTCGGCTCCCGCTGGGAGCGGTGATTGCGCCAGCGGCAGAGACTGCTGTCCGGGCTGAGGTGCGCCGTCCACGGTGGCTAAAACGAACGGACGCGGGAAATGAACGAACGTGGTTTGGGCTACTTTTCTGCGGGACTTACGTTTCAAAATTCGGTTTGGTAGAGCGACTTTTCTGTGAGCTCAATTATACAAACTCGGTAGCTTTTAATGAACCGTGATTTTTGTCACTGTTGTACTAATGCTACAAAACGACGACCTGCCATCGTCATAGTCACATATGCTCAACATGTTGAATGTTGAAGGATGCTATAGGAAGTGGTACTAGTTCACTGTCTTGACCTTGGTCCCGCATTTGCCACTTTTCTAATTGACCTAGATAACATAGTCATGGGCGAAAAAATGACGCGGCTATTTGTAGGTATCATCTGAGATGCCTTTTTTCTGCTCAGCAGTTGAAGCGATATACATCTGTGGGAAGCAGGGATGCGGAGCCGGAGCCGGAGTCGGAGCCGGAGCCGCCGGAGCCGGCATATTTTGCCCGGAGCCGGAGCCGGAGCCGGAGCCGTGAAACAATATAGCCCGGAGCCGGAGCCGGAGCCGGAGCCGCCAAAAAAGGGGGCGACTCCGGCTCCTTTTTATTTTTTGAAGAGGAAAAAAATAATTGACCTAGCTCGGTTTGACAGTACAATGCAGTAAAACATATGGTACTATTGGTCTCAGGATAAGGGCCCAGGCGACCTGTAGTTTTGATGCGGTGAATACCCTCACCCTCGCCACAACTCGAGTGGGGGTGGCGCTGGCTGGGAGGAGGGGTGCACTCGGCCCGAGTTGTGGCGAGGGTAAGGGTATCCATCGCATCAAAACTACAGGTCGCCTGGGCCCTTATCTTGAGACCAATAGTACGTCATGGGCCATCAAGTGAATGAAAAAAGCCGAATATCCCCAGTATCCCACAGTACGCAATCAACTTCCTGTCTGCTCCTCCCCCCCCCCCCCCCACACACACGTCTACTGCATCCCCAGAACATGAGGACCGGTCATCAGGTGACGGCCATTGTTTTGAAGCCAGTGCAGTGGACTGCGACTCCCAGCAACGTCTCTTTTTCTTCCACCCGTATTAAATTGATTGCATAGGGGATGTACTGAGTCGGAGCCGGAGCCGCCGGAGCCGGACCATTTTACTCGGAGCCGGAGCCGGAGCCGGAGCCGCCATAGCATTTCACCCGGAGCTGGAGCCGGAGCCGGAGCCGATTTTTTCTCCGGAGCCGGAGCCGGAGCCGGAGCCGTCTGAAATTTCCACGGCTCCGCATCCCTGGTGGGAAGTTTTCCCTTTGTTGCGCTATTGAAATCTGACTATGGCGCAGGAACGTGTCAGTTATCACTGAGAATCCGCCTGTCCATCTCCTGCTCACTGAAAAATGGATCGTCCGCCAGTTTTAAGCCGTTGGCAGCGATATAACTGATATAACAGTACCGTGAGTAAAAATCGTCTGTTATCTTCAGAGCGATCGCATGCCCCATGAGTCCATCTCCCAGCTTGCCCTAGTTTTTCGGACGAGTAATTTCACAGCACTCGGGACTTCTGGATCTATGGCAGCCACAAATATGTTGCATTTGATGCTGAAACTGGCAGCATACGCATTGCATATCATAGCACACTTGGAACGTTTATACACATTTGGTATACAAGATACAGCCTATGCTACGCTAGGCGACATTGCTAGGTCAGCGTCTACAATCTTTAGGGGAAACTGACACTGCGCAATGTACGAGGTGTGTTCAAAAAGTTCTCGGCCCGACCATGAAGGAGCAGAGATACGACGTCGACTTATTAGACAAAAAAAAAAATGTTCATTTATTCAAATAACCAGCGGTAAGACAAAAACATTTCGCGCAGCGCTTCGCGAGAAGCCCCAGGGTCTCCATAGCCAAGTGGGTTTTGGGCTCATCTGGCACGTGCAAGACGGCTGCTTTCGTCTCCTTCCTGTCAGCAAAGTTGCCACTGCTAAGCAATTTCCTTATGTTGGGGAAGAGGTGGCAACCAGAGGGTGCAAGGTACGGAGAAAAAAGTGGCTGTGACAACAACTCGAAGCCACAGCTCACTGCTTCGCTGATCGTCACCCTGCTCATGTGTGCTGGTGCGTGGTCCTGGATCAGGCGCACACTTTTAGTCAGCTTCCCTAGTCTCTCCTCGATATCTGCTGCTCGCAACTATTATCGAAGGGAGGTGTAGTAATCATCATCAGTTGTGCGCCTCTGTTTTAGAAAAATGAGCAGAGCCCCGTCAGCATCCCAAAATGCAACCACTGTCACCTTGGCGACTGACTTAAACACGTCGCACACATTTGGTGGCCTTTACTCTGTTCATTCCTCATTTCACTCCAACGCATCTAGAATCCATTTACAATGTCGTGGTTTCACTTTCCCAGTCCCCGGGATTTCATTTGCTTCCCGTTAGATAGCTGTCCTGGTCATTGCTGTGATGCAGATTTCCTGATGAGTGTGACATTTGCGTCCCTGTTCAGTTACTTTTTATCCGGTCTTGCAAGTGCTACATCCGCTTAAATGTTAAGCCTGTAACTGAAACCACCAATCAGCTCTCCCAATAGGGGCGTTCCACGACAAATCGACAAGTGCCCTGCACCCTCATATTTTATTTTTTGCTTAAAATTGGTCTAATGGGTTGTGATGGGTGGGGATTGGGGAAGCCAGCTGTGGCAAGGATTTTTTTCTTCGAACAACGGTTTTCGAGATATAGCCTCGGGCAATTCCTGGAGTTCGCGCTGCAGCCCTATGTTTGGCGGCCTATAACTCAGAAACTATTGTTTTTTACGATAAAAACTTTATATGGTTCAACTCACAATCAACCAACAAACATTTTGGCTATCTCGGATTTTCAATTTTTGAAAATTTTGATCACGTGACCTTTTGTCCTATTTTTCGAAGAGTGACCTTGACATTTTCCCCACTGAAAGTTGCAATTTTGTCTGATGACGATTAAAGCCTTATCAATTGTCTTTCATATGCGATAATAAAAAAGTGGTTATCGCCCTGCGTTGACCTCAGGTCAGGTCATTTTTATGACCTGTCCATTATTACGAGCGGGAGCGACAGCGAGATCTCGAGAATAAAGCAAGATAGCGACAAGCAGTAAACGGTAAAGGGTACACACGGATAAGGTCTATAATTTTTACTGAGGTCATTTTCAGGTCAGGTCAAAGATGACGTCACAGGAACTAAAAGGAAGTCAAAATAGCGGCACTATACATATATATGAAGTTTTTCTCGAATAACTTTCAAGGTATCCCACCTAGGAACAAACTAATAGCACCATCGTGATCCTCTCGTCGATCCGCATCGAAACATATGTATGTTGACCTCGAAAGGTCGAAAGGTCAAAAGTTGACCTTAGATCACGTGACCTAAGATGACGTCACAGGAGCTCGAAAGGTCGAAAGGTCAAAAGTTGACCTTAGATCACGTGACCTAAGGTCAACTTTTGACCTTTCGACCTTTCGAGGTCAAAATACATATGTTTCGATGCGGATCGACGAGAGGATCACGATGGTGCTATTAGTTTGTTCCTAGCTGGGATACCTTGAAAGTTATTCGAGAAAAACTTCATATATATGTATAGTGCCGCTATTTTGACTTCCTTTTAGCTCCTGTGACGTCATCTTTGACCTGACCTGAAAATGACCTCAGTAAAAATTATAGACCTTATCCGTGTGTACCCTTTACCGTTGACCGCTTGTCGCTATCTTAATCTTTTCTCGAGATCTCGCTGTCGCTCCTGCTCGTAATAATGGACAGGTCATAAAAATGACCTGACCTGATGTCAACGCAGGGCGATAACCACTTTTTTATTATCGCATATGAATGACACTTGATAAGGCTTCAATCGTCATCAGACAAAATTGCAACTTTCAGTGGGGAAAATATCAAGATCACTCTTCGAAAAATAGGACAAAAGGTCATGTGATCAAAATTTTCAAAAATTGAAAATCCGAGATAGCCAAAATGTTTGTTGGTTGATTGTGTGTTGAACCATATAAAGTTTTTATCGTAAAAAACCAATAGTTTCTGAGTTATAGGCCGCCAAACATAGGGCTGCAGCGCGAATTCCAGGAATTGCCCGAGGCTATATCTCAGAAACCGTTGTTCGAAGAAAAAAATCCTTGCCACAGCTGGCTTCCCCGCCCATCACAACCCCTAACACCAGTTTTCAACGAAGAATAAAATATGAGGGTGCAAATTTAATTTTTTATTTGTCGATTTGTCGTGGAACGCCCCAATAGTTGCACAGTCCGTTATAACATCTGCCCTCCGTTTTAACTTTCGGGCTCCGTCCCAACCTCTGCCATCGTTCCAACATTTTCTCCCCGTGGTAAACTCTTGATGTCCCGCCCAATGTTTACTTCTAATGCTCTCCTTTCTAGCACTTGCTCTCCATTCAAACCTCTGCTTTCCGCCCCCAATCCCCAATCCCCCTCTTAACGTCTGTGCTTTCTTACCTCTCCCTCATGAAGTGCCCAATAGCCACCGGCTCCGTTCTAACCTCCTGTTCTCTCCCTCAGCTACATGATCCGTATGCGCGAGTATGAGCGTGAACGGCGGCTGCTGCAGCGTCAGAAGAGACTGGATGAGAAGGAACGGCGGCTAGCGGCCGAGGAGCTGGCGGCCTGAGCGCGCGCTCGTGAGTGTCCGAGTCTAGCCGTGTTTTGTACAGCGCCCCTGTTGATGTGTAAATAGATATGGTATAGTGGTACTCGCTGGTCTCTGAGGTGAGAAGGGAAGCTGATGGGAGGGTGCTGGGGACCCACGTGCCCTCAATTATAGCCTTGTGGGTCGTAACGATGGCGTTACTATTGGTCTTCAGGTAATGAGGAAATACTCTGAAATGGGCTGTTCCTGATTTATTGCGTACTTGGGTCGATTATTATTGCATTTTTGAAGTGGCTTGTCCGCCGCTCTGGCATTCAGGGAGTGGCTTCGAAACTACCGGCTTGCAAGCGGTGGCCTTGGCGAGATCCAACACCAGTTTATGATTGCGAGTTGCTACCAGAAGTGCCGGTTTTACTTTCAGTTGGGTCCCATCCCGCTCCCGGCGGGCACAAGGCCGTCTGCAGGGCCTGTCATTAGGTGATTCCTGCCAAACTGGCTCGGTATTTCATCTGTTCGTCTTCCGGCGCCCGTGGGCGCGCGGCTGTGAAAGTGCCCCGGGACCGGACCCGCTCGTTGCACCAGTGGCCGACGGACGGCGGAGATCGGCTCGCGGATTAGTGGCGCGCGTGTCGGCAAAACGGCACACCGGTGCCGCAATCGGCAGAGAAACCGAGAGTGATCCGGTCCGACTTGTTCCGGCCCCTCATCGCCCAGAGCTGACCGAGCTGACTGCAGTTGGCGCCTCGTGGGATCCGCGGCACAAGGCTGCCGCGGTGAAAATCGACCGAAAATCCTCGGCGATGGAGGCGATTCATTTTCACTTCCAGGGTGGTCTTGCTTGCCTAATTGCTGAACTTCCGCCGTTCTTACTGTAGCCCTCAACGTGTTCCTCATTCACATACAGGTTCATTTAATCGGCATAATTGTATTTGTCAGTTATCTAAACAAAGATAGACCGTGTTGCTGCTAAGACAGTGACGCACATTATAGTGATCAACGAACACTTCTGTAGATGTCGGCCTAGTGAGTATTCTGCCGATGATCCCCAGCGCGTGGCGTAAACCCGTAGGCCTGCGGCGGATGCCTCTCCCGGCTGAGCTTTGAGCAAGCTATCCTGATGAGTTCGACACCTCCGAGTTTCATATTCCCATGTTTGGTGCTATTCCTCGTCGAGCCCAACACCCCCGATTTCGGCGCAGTCTGACTCGATAGCCACACGCTGTCCTCGCCCCGCCCATGTGCACCGCAGGCGTGGTTCCGCGCCCTGTTATCACATACATATCGGCCAATATCAGCCAATGTTTACCCTCGTCCCGGCCCCCAAACTCTCCGTCTCTCATCCACTGGCTATATTTCCGGCGTTCGAAACCACGCGGCCTGCGCCGGGGGTAAGAAGGCACTCTGAACCGCCGCCGGCAGCAGCCGCGGCCGAGGTATGACGTCACACCGGACCGGGCGTGTGACGTCACCGGACCAGCGGACGAACACAGGAGTGGTGAGCGGCGGGCGCGGCGCCCTTTGATCATGGTGGCGGCGCCCAGGTGCCCACGGGGCAGTGTCAGCTGGATGGGGCGCCGTGGCGACACGGCGCGGAATGGGTGTGGCGGAATGATCGCGCGCGGAATGGTTCGGCTCTACAAAACGTCAGCTCTGTCGCAGTTAAGAGCGAGTATGCAACACGTCGACACACAGTACTTAACAAAGAAAAAACACACGATCGCAGCGACAGCGGAAGCGGACGGCGCCGGAGTCGCCGGCGGTCTCGCCCTCAGGCACAGAGAGGTTCGACCTCGGCTTGCAACGCGCGACCGTGGGGGACAGCGACTGTCACCGGCTGCTGCGTGCGGCCAGTGAACAACGCCTCCCTCACAGGCACTAAAGCACAGGTACACAGGAACGCGGGCCAACACTTCCGGCGCGCGCACGCAACATCGAACACACTCTCACACGCAGAACATCGAATAAACACACATCATCACACGTCAGTCTGATCACACACACTCGCATATCAGCCACTGTGCTTGAGCGTCAGCGTCAACAACACACAAAACGACACAACAGTTCAACGTCAGGCCATCCAGGGCGCTCCGGCCGGCCACTTCGCAGCGTGCCAGCTCCCCAAGACAACCAGAGGCGCCAGCTTGAACCGCCGGCCACCGCTGACTGCGGCAGTCCGGCCGGCCGCCGGGTCGGCTGACCGGCGGCCACACTTCCTCTCCCTACTGGGGCCGGCACATCAGTGGCCCTTGACGCCGTTGGAGCGGAGGTGGACGCCGTCGCCGTTCTGCAGGCCGTTGGAGATGCCGTTGGCGATGCCGTTCGAGTGGCCGTTGGCGTAGCCGTGCTTGGCGTGTCCGTTGACGCCGTTGGTCAGGTGCGCCACGCCGTTGCCGTTGGCGTGGCCGTTGGCAGAGACGCCGTTAGAGACGGCCACAGCATCATCGTCCTGCGGGGCACGGCAGCCGGTCAGAGTCGCTCGTCGGAAACGGTTCTTACCGCCGGGAGGGGGGTGGGGGGTGGGGGGTTGAGGCCTGAGGGGGGGGGGGGGGGCGGAAGGGCATACACAGTACACACACACATCCATTGCAACAGTTGTTGTTGATGTGATAGTTTTAAAACACAAGGCAACGGGGAAATTGCAGTTATTGAGTTCACGGATGCAATACATCATGATTGGAACACACGTTACGATTAACATTATCTCAGTTACAATGCCAAGCGACTGTTCTGGTCATAACACTCAGTAGAAGCACCACTGGAGCTAAGAGAACCTTGAAGCATGACGTTTGCCTTTAAAATGAGCCGCGAACATACACACCAAATATGCATTTCAAGACCACTTTGCACCAGTGACACCGATTGTGGAGACAACTGTCGGCGCGGCGCTCTCTGAGACAGTGCAGCGGCACGGGGAATCTGCATAGTCACCCTGAGAGCGCCGCGCCGGCAGTCCTTCTCATTCACGTCTACCCTCCCCCTCCCCCCCCCCCCCGCTGGTGTCCCCGTGACCATATTCGGTCCGTCATCAGTCGTCCGGCAGGGGCTGAGTCTGGAACGTCCCGGTGCGGTGTCGAGGGCGCCCTCAGCGGGCCGGAGGTCGGTCCACTGCCTGAGGGCGGGCTGTCTCACCGCCGCGATCTGGGCCCGTTACGGAGCCTAACGTTATCACGGGATCAGAGCCACTCAGAGCGAGCGACCTCACGAAACGCGGCGCGCGCCGTCACCAAATGCCCTCCGGAATGCGATGGATGGGGCGGATGAACGCGGGATTTCAGCCTTGAGTTAGCTCCGGGTGGATTGCAGGTGCAGGGGGTTCATTAACTCGGGTCATTCAAAAAACGCTTATCTAGTCATGCCGGTTAATCATCACGGATACTTTGATGGAAGTTTCCGAGCTGATGACACAATCCTGATTGATTCAGCTCCCACGTCAAGTTTCTGAGCAATGTGCGTAATAATGTTGCTGTCCTAGTTCGAACCCCTATCCGCAACTGATACCGGATCTAAATGTGATAGCTAAGGGTCAAAATACTGGGAACGTTTGTACGGAAAACCCCGTATTGTTCCTAATGTCGATATTCACATACTTATTAAAACGCCCCTCAGCTAATGTGCGGTGCCTATTAGTTCAACAGACGCACATCATTATGCTACTTTGAGCCCGCTTAACTGAGACTCAGAAACTGCGCGTCAAAACTGATCAGCATTTACCACAAGGTCACTTGACTACCTTCCCCTTCTTAAATCCCGACTTTGTAGAACCCTCGTGTTGGACTAAGACCAAAGCTCCCCACGCAGTTTCATGTCGTAATGCCCGGCATAACCGCGGGAGGCCCCCGGTGAGATAACTCAGCCATTGCTGCCCGCACTGTAACTCCTCTCATATGGCCGGATTAAGTCCCGCGCCCGTCACGCAGGTATTGCATCACAGTCTTTGGCCGATTGCAGTGCGGCGGCGGCGGCTGCGGCGGCGGTGGTGGCCCGGACATTCCCGACATCCCGGGAGCCCCAGACGAGCTGATCTCGGCTTTACGGGCGGCCCGGGCGCCGGCTCCTGGCACCGCCGCCGCCACCGCTGCCGCCGCCGCCCCCGCCCACCCCGGGCGGCCCAGAGGCCCCCGGAGGGAGGGCAGAGCCGATCAGTCCGCTCAGTCCTGTTCAGTCCGGGCGGCGCCACTCAGTCCACGTTGCACAGTCGTATGGCTCAGTCTCGTGCCGGTTAGTCGCGCCGTTCAGTCCGGCGTCCTTCAGTCCAGCGCCGCTCAGTCCGCGGTGTTCAGTCCCTCAGTCCGACGCCGATCAGTCCGCTGCAGTCTTGTCCTGTCTTGTGCGCGTCGCTGTGGAGTCAGACACCGAACCTACCTTCTTGGGCTTCTTTCCATAGTACTCGCGCCGGTAGAAGCCGAGGAAGAGGAAGAAGAAGAGCAGTCCGTGGGCACCGATGTACCAGAAGGCGATGGTCGGGTAGTCACACTCGCGGAAGACCAGCTGGAACGAGTGCGCCATGATGGCCACGAACTGGACCTGGGGAGAGCAGAGTCAGAGTCAGAGTCAGATGCACGAATCAGATAGAGTCAGAGACAGGTCCGGCCAGAGGCCAGTCGGTGGAGCATAGCGTCCGCTCTAGCGGTTTAGTCAAACAGTCTGCTAGACATTGTAAAGTGGCCACGTGGCAGTGCAATTTGACGGTCGAGTAACATGATCGTAAATTAGCTGGTAAAACTTGTTAATAACATACCTACTTGTTTTGCGACTTGAAGTGGATGCTTTGTAATTACATTTTCATGCCTCTAGTGGAAGCAACAGACGATTTAATTATCATGGAATGTGAAACGTTTCCTTCGCATGTCTCTGTCACCTTACATGCGCGAGTCCAATTAAGCATTCTATAGCTGAGCTCACTTTGAACATAGTCGGCTGTTGTCAACCTGGACGTCACCTGTTACTATGTTTATGCGACATTTCATTACCCATACTCCCCTGTGTACACTGCTCGTTATATATAATTACATAAACTTTACTGAGCCCAGGCGCTGCCAAAAACTACCGTTTACCGGTCTCTATGGCAACGAGCTAACACTACGCCGGTCGTCGTCCGTGATGATGTCATTGTATGACGTCATTTACCATCTGCATGGTGGTCATGTGCTTCTTCCAGGTGATGAAGCGCTTGTACTTGGGTCCCATGGCAGCCACCATGTAGTAGGCGTACATGAAGATGTGGACGAAGGTGTTGGCGAGGCCGAAGAAGGTGCTGTGGCCACCTGGCGATAAAAAAGGGAACGTCAGCGCATGGCTACACCAGGCATTCTCTATACCCCAGGGGAGCAAACAGAGTCTTAGGGTCATATACCAGCCGTATGATTGATATCCCTTATAAAAGACAATTCTATCGCGTCGGGTCTACCCGTGAATGGCTTAGCAACTCGCTCATAAAGACAACAATGTGATTATTCAGTACGCATAGCCCACGGACAAACACACGTGCCACATTTCGCGGTCACCGGTCGCTGTCGCTAGGCTCCAGCCATTCAGCCATATATATGTACTAGGTCAATGCACCGCGCTCACTCCAGTCAGGGGTGACCCAGGCTGGCCGCGGCCCTGTCCGTGACGAGGACGTAACGATCGTGACGCTGACCACGCGTCACGACGGGCCGCCTCTTACGGACCGGCCCGACTGTCCCAACTCAGCGCTACGGGGAAGTGAACCAGATTCCTTGGACGATGCCTGTGCCACAGACAGTGCCAGAGACACGCCGGATCGATCTGCCTTTGTTCTTTGGCAGAGAAGGAGAGAGGGGGGAAAGAGTGGCTCGTGTCGCGCGAGATCAACCCATTGAAGGCTAGAAGAGGTATTGTGCAGAATTCAGCTGAATGCGCTTGGATGTCGCGAACGCTTAGTGGTTATTGGTCTAGGGCAGATTCACAATGATGCTCGAGATTTACAAGACTGAACGTTATGAATATTTAACGGTTTCTCAAGAAAATATGAGTCCTGAACGGTTTTCAGCATTGTTCTTGGCGTTAATGAAACAGTTACAACCCGCTTTTGACGTCAAGATGCCAAGATAGAGTCAACGGCACATCCTCAGTGCCTTGTGACGTCAGGTTGTCAACGACCCTTATAAACCTGCACACGGATGAACTCCGAGATGTCGCTCACGGTCACTCTCTCAGGGACACCAGAAATCCGCATCCATCCACTACTAACACTTGTTCCGCCTGGTTTTAAACCATTTTTCTCGGCACAACATGCACATAGAAGGCTGCTTGCAGGTGGCCGGACGCCACAACACCCGGACCGGACAGCTTTTGGTCAATTAAATCAGAACATCGTGCTGAGCTGAGACCAAGGTTATCGCTACGGGTCTATGTTTAGACCGGCGAGACCACGTGGGTAGAGCGGCGGGAGCACCCCGGTGCTCTATCCCCGGGGGGGCCTGCGGGACGCTCACCTGGGATGAACTTGGCGCCCCACCACACGGAGAAGGGCATGATGCCGTGATGGACGACGTGAAGGACAGACACGTGGTTGAACTTCTTCCTTAGGATGAAGAAGAACTGAAAACAAAACACCGGCAGGTCAGCGTGGCTCTCAAACGGCGAGAAGACAGCGTGTGGCTATGAATGAGCTCAGGTTTGCTCGATTTTTAGGGCGCTAAAAAGTTGGTGTGCCGAAATTGCATGTCCGTTAAGAGCGTGCTTAGTACACTGGTGCAAGTATCGCCAGTACACATTAAAGGAATTGGGTTAATGCACAATCTCCTCTGACGTTTCATACTGCAGTGAAAGTACAGCTAGCCAATGAAGCACAGCTTACATAACAATCGCTGAAGGGCAGCATTCTTTAACGAGACCTTTCCTCTTACTTTGATAGCATCGTTCCCCAGGAATATGCGAGACTCAAAGCACTTACCGTATCGGGGAATTCACAGAACTTTGAGAAATAGTACAGCCAACACGAGGTCACCATCTGAAAGCACACACAACATGTGTGAGTGTAACTGTAAGTCGAAACGATGTCTTATACATAGCGGGCTGAATTATCTACGAGCTGAAACACACGGCCGATGTGTGAAATAATTAGGTACCGGGCTGGACCCGTTATAGCGTCTTAGTAACAAATCATGTGGAATTCAAACGCATCTGTTTTAATTAGCACATCTATGTACTAAGGATAACTATCAAGATATTACTAGAATAGAAAAACTTGGCCACCAAAACCGATTGTTCGGCCGGCAAAGAAGCACCACAGACATGTCTAAATTTAATCTATAGGTTACCTCAGCGTTCCTGACTGCTTGCAACCACAAACATGTCATATAACCATGGTGTTGACAATAATATTGCCACTTGATTAGTATGCAGGCCACTTTAACAACTAATTACACCTCCGGCCTCTGGACTCCTGACAGATATTGCTCGGGTTACTCACGTAAAGTGCCTTGGGGTCGTTGGAGTAGTCCACCGGCTGGCAGAGGTAGCTGTACTCGAGCAGCCATCCGGACACCAGAAGCTGAGGACAGAGCGCGAGATGTTACCTCACGGTCGGGCATATCACGGACGGGCATATCACGAGCGGGCATATCACGGAAGGGCGGGGCAGCTCAACGAGGGGACATCTCGTGGGCGAGCAGCTCAAAGAAGTTACACAGAGGAAAGGATTGGACGCCGTTGTCTGGGGCTTTAGACACCAATATCTGAGAGGTCGGTTCTGAAGAGTTTGAAGAGAGGTCGGCAGAAAGCGAGGCGTTCAGTCGCGCGCCTTTTTGTTATGGTCCGAATGTGTCTGATCCGAGTTGTGCCATCGGATCATCGACAACCCTGACTGGCCTTGCGCCAGGTTTGGACTGGAGTTGAGGCTGGAGTCTTTATTCGGGGTCTGAAACTATTATTTGAGCTGGGCTGCATTTGGAGTTGAAGATGGTGAGGTTGGACTCTAGATATGATATCTGAGCTAGGACTACCGCTGTGGTAAGGTCTGTGCCCGGGTCTGGGACTGTCAATGAATCTGTTGCTGCGGGCCGGCTGCCCTATGCAGCGGTGCAGCATCCCAAACAGCCCGCGCCGGCCGTCCGCCGGCCCGCCGTCCGCACCGTTACAACCGGGATTGGACCGGAGCATAAAAACGGGACCAGCCGGCCGGTGCTCGCCAAGATGTTGTCAGACACATCGGCATGCACGTGATGCAGAAAATATGTCGCCGACGACAGGTACATAAGCGGGTTTGCATGAAAATGTGACACCAGCCCGCATGACGTTCAACAGATTATTTGCAATGAAGATTCACCTCGTCTGACCCATGCAACGAGCACGTTACGCCCGCTGTCACCGTGATTTTGTGTTTAGAACAATGAAAATAATACCCCAGGTTCAATGACACAGTATCGTACACCAGCATAGACTCACGCCTCAGTATTAAACGACCGAAATCAAGCGTGATGGTATAAGCAGTCACGAATCACAATATCACGACTCGTTTTTACCACATGTGGCGCGGTCCTCAGCTCACTCACCCTGTAGAAGAGGTAGATGGAGAAGAGGACCTGGACGAAGTTGTAGACGATCAGCAGCTTCTGCACGTTGTAGGGCTGCCTGTCCTTCATCCAGCGCGGACCGAACCATGCCACCGTCCACACGTAGGTCAGGCAGATGGCCAGCGTGGGGAACGGCGACGACATCAGCGGGTAGCTGTCCATGCGCGGGTCTGAGGGAGAAGAGGTCAAAGGTCAGGGGTCAGAGGCCGGTGTCGCAATGATACAAATGGCGACAGCCTGACATCTACAAATTCACCTGTCAGATATAAGTTTATTAAATAGACAATTACATAAATAGACTGCGCGGTGTTTTCGTATTTTATCGGCGTTTGAAACAGAGCCTTTGTGTTTTCTGCTGGTACGTTAACGGGCTTCACCAATGTCACATTGTCACAAAGTTCAAACGGTGTGACTCAGTTGTTGAAACATCATTTGTTAAAACAGAAAATTAAGTGCCTCATTCTGGGCATCCGGGTGTTTAATGAGTTTTTGCCTAAATCTTTTATTTTCAGCGGTAAATACCTTAATGTGACGCACATAAGTGTACTACAAGAATATAGTTAGCAAGATAGGTGTAAGCTTTCAGGTGAGAAACGCTTGCGATTATAGCAGGTGACACTCCTGGAAGATCCCAAGCCAAGGTCGCGAATCGTCTCGCACTTAGTTAAGACGCCGTACAAGGTCAGCCGTCTGGGTAGGGGAGGAAGTGCTGGCTGCAACTGACCGCGCGCGCCCCTCCTGGCCTTGGTCGGGGCGCTGTAAGTGACCCCTTCAGAGTATTTTAATGAGCCGCCGGCCGGGCCCACGTGACGCACACACCTGACGCTCGGGGCGCCGCCGCGCCGTCAGCGGCCTGCTGCCGGCCCTCGGCCGCTCGGCCCGCTCCAAATCAGACGCCGGCACATTATGCATGCAGAGCCGCCGCGGCGACCCTGCAGGATTCCTGCGTCTACCCCACCCCCTTCCCCCTCCTCCTCCATGGCCGCTGGGCGGCGCGAGGAGGCACCAGAAGCTACACTCATCCGGCTCGCTTCCTCATCATAACTTTGTCGCGTACGCACGTCTGGTTACAAACTTCCTGGTGTCCCCCGTTGCCCTCGGGATGCCCGGGCGTGCTCGGCCGGCCGGTGCGCGCAGCGGCAGCTCAGGAATGACCACACGTGCATTCATCACAGTCGACTGGCGACCATCGCCCTGCCGGACGCGTCAAGGTCTCGCAGCGTCGCTGATCCATAATGCAGCGCGGCTATCGTTTCCTGCATGACCCTGCCCTTGGTGTGAGCAGATTGTCGCCTACCAGTTTGTCCGCGTCTTTTATGCAAGGTGGTTGACGTCGCCGCCTTGACAAATACCCTGGGGAGCAGCAGGTATGTCCTATGGGCGATCCGGAGGTGCGGCCGTCGCGGCTCACTCCTGCCCGGGCTCTCCGTGCTGCCGGCGCGGCGGTCACTGGACTGACCAATCGCGTCATTACTGACCAACTGCCGTAACGATATACGGCCACACAGTGGCGGCCTTTGGTTCACTCTTCTAATTTCGCTCGCTATGCAGCAGACGATGGCTACCTAGCCACGGAGCGAAGCGAGACGGTTTTTTTGCACCAGACATCCGTTCAAGGGCAGGTGGTGATCAGTCGTGGCTCCGAGCACACTGATCGATATGGGTTCAAAGTTTGGCGCTGAAATGGCTCCTGATGACAGTTTGTGTGGACAATGACTCGACCAGGATTATGTCAGAGGTCCGGCGAACTATGCACCATATCAGCGCTAGGAGTGACGCGGCAGTGAAGTGGGAAGAGGAGAGGAACGGGAGGGGATGGGAGGACGCCCGCTCACCCTGAAGGTAAGCTCACAACGGAACGACCCCGGCCCGCCAGACCAGTTTTTGTCCGGAGCTGTTCTCGAGCCACTCGCCAGGGAAGTAGAGATCTATATACTCGGTGACGCAATCAATAACGGTTTGATTGTTATTGTTCTGGAAGCGAACTCAGTGAAGGTCAACTGCTCTTGTTGACAGTTTTTCTTTGTTGCAGGAAAAACATCCATTAAATGACTTAACCCTATTCCTGGCGGGCTCCGCCGGGACAAGAAACTGGCGGGGGGGGGGGGCCGATTCGGCCCCCCCCCCCCCTGAGATCTCGAGAACGAAGCAAGATAGCGACAAGCGGTAAACGGCATCGGATACGCACGGCCAAGATCTACAATTTTTACTAAGGTCATTTTCAGGTCAGGTCAAATATGACGTCACAGGGGTCGAAAAAGTCAAAATGGCGGCACTAGATATGGAGAGAGTTTTTCTCAAATAACTTTCGAATTAGTCAAGATAGGAACAAACTAAGGGCATCATCGTGATCCTCTCGTCAATCCGCATCGAATGATATGTATGTTGACCTCGAAAGGTCAAGGTCAAAGGTTGACCTCAGGTCACGTGACCTCGAGGTCATCATGTATATCATTCGATGCGTCTTGACGAGCTGAACACAATGAGACCATCCAGTCGTCTTTATCTTGTTCCTGTACGGAGTTATTGGCCAAAAACCTTTGGTGACCTTTGATGACGTCACATGATCTCACAGCTGCCCAACAGCAAAACAGACCTCAAGGTAGTGAAGGTTGATCGTATATGAAGTCATGTATGGTATATGGGGCCATTCCGACCCGTTTTAGTGGTAAAAACAGGGAGTTGATTTTTCCCCCATTGACTTATAATGGGGAGGTCGCGAAATTGACCTGACCTTAGGTCACCGATATCAAAATTCTGAGATATACAAATTGCACATACTGGTACCCTAACTAAACCCTGAAGAGAAGAAATTGATCGGTCAAAAACTCTAGCTCTGGCGTGATTGCAAACTTTTCTGAAGTGGCGTCACCAAACCGCCTCTGGTGACCTGACCTGAGGTCAGATCAACTCAAAATTTTCAGACATGTTGCGTAGAAGCCTTTTAGGAAAAGTCAGAAAATTTGAGCTTCCTAGCTCACTGAGAAAAAAATTGACTCCATATGGGTTAAAACTCTTGAAAATGCTCCCCTGAAAACTCCTTAAAACCATTGATAACTTCCTTTCCAGCAGAGTTATTGAGTGTGTTCTAGGGTAACTTCGAGCCTTCCTCATTTTGCGAAAGAGTTTTCAAGAGTTTTTAATGGATGGCGAAATGACTCCATGTGTGACACCTCATAACCCTGTGACGCAACTCTCCATTATTCCCGAAAAACTTTTCCCGAACGTTCCAACAGGAGTAAAAGGGGAGTTACGAAGGGGTTTTAGCATACGTCGCGAGGCTGCCGGTGGCCGCCATCTTTTGCGCGTAGTACACAGCACGTTGTGCGGGGCGGCGGGCGAGGTGTTAGTGAAGAGCGTGTTGACTTAGACGGACCTGACCTATACAGTGACGGATAATTGGACCTTACTTTGGACTAGGTAAGCTTAGCTGTATTTCTCATCATGCTTTTATAGTGCAAAGTGTTATTATGCTGTGATGAGAACATATGGTAGCTCCATGTTCTTGATGGGCTGGAATGGTCTCTGTAAGGGTAATTTATTTCGTGATTTATTTCGTTCCTGAGTGAGATAAAGATCGGAAACAGCATGCCCTGAGTTTCTAGGTATTTGCAAATATCATACATCATTTCCCTCGAAATAAATTGGAAAATTAAGATTACACAAGCTTTACACGTCATGGATCCTATTGTTATTGTCCAATTATTTTAATATCCATACCAATGACAAATATCAAATTTGAAGGGCTTTCAAAGCAGAGCCAGAAAATTAAACTATCTTGGCATAAAAGCCTTGATTTTCCTAGCCCCAATATACATATAAAAAAAAAATCAGTTACCTACTTACCTACCACTGCCACTGCCCATGTGAATGATGAAAACCACCGACAAACCAGCATGTTTAAATAAATTTTGTCTAAATTGTTGTATGTTTTTAGAAAGTGTCCACAATTGAATTTCGTTCTTTAATGTTAACATGGGTACCTATGCAGCGTATAACGTCCTTAGCTTATTTTTAGTGACCTGCTTAACTTTTTGAGCGTTCAAGTAGGTACCTTTTATAGCATTGCCCTACTGTGTCTGCAACTAAGATGGAGGCTGTTAACTTGCGCTTTAGACTTTCACTGAAACTTAACTTTATCAAAATTGTAGTGCATAAAAAGTATGCTAACTTTGCAATCTCTTGCTTTCATTATTTTGACATCATGTGCCGAAATGCAGTATCAGTGCCAACACGTCAGGTCGCGTATGTCTCGTCTCGTCCATCTTGTCTCATCTGCCTACCTCTCAGTCTCCTCCCTCATTACTTCCTTCCATCTTTCCTCGCTTCCTTCCTCACTCCCTCTTTCCCTCCCTTCTCTCTCCCTTTCTTTCTCCCTCTCTCCCTCCCTTCCTTCCTTCCTTTTTTCCTTCCTTCCTTCCTTCCTTCCTTCCTTCCTTCCTTCTTTCCTTCCTTCCTTCCTTCCTTCCTTCCTTCCTTCCTTCCTTCCTTCCTTCCTTCCTTCATCCCTCCCCTCCTTCCCTCCCTCTCTCCTTCATTATTTCCCTCCTTCTCTTTTTTCTTTCTCCTCCATTTCCTCCCACTCAATGTTAAGTGTACCTATAATTTCATGGTTATTAACATTTTGCAGGGGATGAGCTGAAGAGCCTGCAGCGCATCCCGCAAGACACGTCGGAAGCCAACGGAGGCCAGCAAAATATCCATCCCACCATCGTGAAAGGAGAGCCGGACGAAGAAGACGCAGTATTCGTCGAGGCCCAGGAGGTGGTAGGGTAGCGGACAACCAGACCAAGCATTCCTGCTGTGGTAGGCCGCCTTTTGGATTCTTAGCATCAAAACTCGCGACCGTGAAGCATATGGAGTGAGATCCCCGGAGAGCGTGCCGCGGTGGGATGTCGACAGCGTTTGTTAATTTTTTACGCCTCCCACCGCCCCGGACTATGAATACACATTTCTTGAAATATATTTATTATCTGTGCTTCGGTACACGAGCTTTGGGTGGTTACGCTATTCGTCCAATACTTATTTTCGGGGGGGGGAGGAGGAGGGGCTGGAGTGGAGTGATGGGAAGTTTGGGTGAGTTTGATGGGGAGTAACAAGAGGTATACCATGAAGATGTAAACGGAGTTTTGGGGAATAATGGAATGGAGTAATCGGGAGTAATTATGAGGCAGTAGGAGAGTCATTGAGAGTAATGGAAGGGAGTTTCTGGGAGTATGTTGTTTGTTTTGATAGGGTAAAGGAGAGTAATGAAGAGTTTTCTAAAACGGTAGGGAGAGTTACAGAGAGTTTCTCGAGGGAAGTTTTGGGGTGTAATGGAGAGTTTTGGAGGGGGTGTAATGAGGAGTACCACCTGGGAGTTTTGGGGTGTCGTTTTGGTGAACTCCCCCTGGGGGTGTCATGCGGAGTCAGGATTTTTCTCAGTGCTCAACGCGTTTGGGAGATATAACCAAAAAACCTCAGGGGGGCTCCTGAGGCCCCCCCCCCGCCAGGAATAGGGTTAAGGCACTTCTTCAGATGCAACAGACAAATAATCTTGGCTCAGTAATCCAAATCACGATTTCACTGCCGTGCAGAGTGGCATGACGACTGAATCACGTTTCATCCCCCTGGCCAGGGTGTTGGCTTCTGCAGTCCTATTTAACGTGTATAAACAACCGTTGATCTTTGACACCATTCCTTCAGTAGCACGATGCCTTCCAGCTGGCCACGCGAGCACGCGCAGAGGGTCAAAGGTCAGGAGCAGGGGTCACCAGGGCGGCACACACCGACAGGCGGTCGGCGACAGGGCGACGTCCGATCGCTAAGGTCACCGGCAGGGGTGGGACAGGACGGCTGGACCCGTAAGTCGTCCAGTGAGTCAGCGGAAAATAAAGTACAGGTTCTGCTTCGACCGTCTAGGTGAAACAGGAGCTGAGTAAGTGGGCAAGGAATGGATGGAGAATATGTTGTCAAACATATGTCTAATGTATGAACCCGACATTGAGTGGCCGACGACGTAAATGTTTGATTGAGCTGTTTGTGGTCACTTAGTTATGTAATTAGGCTTATGTAAGTGTCGCTTATTAATGTTCTGTTTTCGCTGTCACGCTTCCGCAATGCCATCGTTGAAAATTCAAGGAATTTCAAAAGCTCTGCAATTTCAAACTCAACATCTAATCCAGCGATCAGCATCTTTATGAAAAAAGCAAACATATCTTTGCCCCTTGGTCCTGCAGGCGCCGATACCGTTTGTTTGCGCCGTCCAGCTGGGGGGGGGGGGGGCAAAGTACACCAGGAACGCCACAGGTGCGCCGCCTACACCTGTTAGACGCCGCGGCGATTGCTCACTGCGCCATATCACGCCCAGTTGTCGCCACTTATCGCCCCTCCGACCAGTCCGCGCCCAGGAATGTGTCGGCAGGCCGGCCCAGATGGAATGGCTGCCGTAAGTGCTGGCATAAAGCCGAGCGCAGCCGCTGCTGACTGCTGGCTATAGGCCGTGCACGCGGGACCAATGGGTATCGGAATCAATACGACCTCATTTTGAGGGCGGCGTGTGATCTAGCTGTGACAGCGAAAACCATGTTGTTGACGTCAATTTTGGCAGTTGTGAACACAGTGGCACGGCATGATGTAGATAGTTACAGGGGACCTCCAACTCGACCTATATATTCTGGCACGTTTTCATAGATGGTATCTACGGGCATGCCGTGACAACCACCGAAACGTTCTGTAACTTTGATGACAAATTGCACGCCGATGTGGACGCTAGTTACAGCCCGGCGTTCGCTTTTCATTCCGTCATCCAATTACGTTTCCACACACAGTTTTTATCTACTTTTGAAGGCAAAAATCAATGTTGCCCATATATTGCTCGGTGGAGCTTGTTTTGCAACGTACCAATATTACATCGAACTTGCTATCTAAAGCGTGCTGTTTAGAACGCGCTATCTAAAGCGCGATCAATCACGTTGTGTAGGTACTGGGTTGAAGCAATAGTAGCACATGGTTACTTTTGTCACAACAGTAAACCGATCAGTCAGGCCGCGGGTTTCGATTCCAAACTGAGTACATTAATTTTAAACGGCCAGGAGACCCGCATGGCCAACTGGATTCGCGCACCGGCTTATCTGTTTTAGTGGTGTCATGCGGCACAGCATACCTGCAGGCGTTTGTCGCTGGCGCCATCTATTGAGCAAAACGTCAGGCATCAACGGCCGTACGGTTTATGGGTTTCTCAGACTGACAGGCAATCGGCGTGAGGATATTTTATGAAAATAACTTTGCAAAGGTAAGCCTGTCAGTAGGCGTGAACGATTTGATAACTCGGTAATTGCTTTGGTCGTCTCACTGCGGTAATGTATAGACATGATATGATAATGTGTATTCACTGTCTACCTACTGTTGACTGGATTCCAGGCAGATATCGCTGGCTGGTCATTCACTTACCTCGCAAGTCCACCATAATGTGGTTGTAGCCATCGATTATGCTCTGCACGATGCCCGACATGGTGTCAGTCCTGAAACAAAGATAAATCACAGTCAGCACGGGACAGACACGGTCACAACTCAGCACAGTCTGAGAACACCATTACCCCCGCTGCCGAGTCTGCCCCTCTGCAAGTCTGTCCCACACAGACCCGATGACGGTCCGAAGGCCGATGGTCGGTGAGGGTAAAGAACTGTCGGGGTCGAGGGCAGAGGCGCAGGAAGGGCTGAACAGTCGCCCCGGGCAAGGTTAGCGGTGCAGATCGTGCGTGAGGGGGCGGACAGACTGCAAGGGGGCGCCAGGAGGCTATATATACTCTGCAGACGAACGGGTGAAAGACCCCAGAAGGCCAGGTGACGAGTTACGAAATCACGAAACGAGCACAACGCTAAGATGGGCTCAAATACCACGGTTAATGACGTCCTGACATCGAAATTGACAACGTGTCTGCTCTCCGCACACATACTAAATCTTCGGCACTTCTTGTGTAAGCTCATCGATAACAGGTTTATCGGAAGCGGCTTCCGTAAATAGTTGCTTTCACTGTTGGCAAGACTTGGCCTGCCATTCATGAGCGCAGTAGGTATAGCGCGACGGGATGGGCGAAACTTCGTTTGCATTATAACTCCTTACGACCTAGGCCAGGCATCAGTCTTAAAATAGAATCTGAGGCTCCCTAGGGTTAAGCGCAGCGGGCAACCTAATTTTGCACAGCAATGACCTACTGGCGGGCCGCACTGGACCTGCAGGGATAGATTGAAGATTGAGTGAGAGCAAAAAAGGCAGAGGAGTTAAAGACGTACATTTTGCACCTATTTTAATTCAAAGAGCAATTATAAACGATATATTGTAAACGTTTAAATGGTTCATAACAACCGTAATACAATTTAAAGGCTTTGACTGACTAAGGAACAAATTTGTATCCATGACAAAAATCATGCAAAAATTATTATCTAGAGAGCACCCGGATAAGTTGGCGAAGGACTGAAGCCAGACGGAGAGTAACGGATGGTATAGTACTGTATGTAACACTTTCCCTGTACCATAGACCGGTGACACTGATTCCATTAGAACCCCGGGCTGATGTGGAGGCGCGTTCAGTAACACTTTGAGTCCATCCGAGACCGTAGCTCTGTCACCAGGACAACGTGCCAACATGTCGATAACCGACGCCACCAGCGGCTGCAACCGAACACAGCTGCACAAAGGCGGCTGCTGTGCTGGCGTCCCCACAGCGACACCCAAAGCCACGGTTCACCATTAACGCCATGGGATCTGACAGTGTGGCAGTTACATTGTGGAGCTCGTCACAACGAAACAAATCAGCTTTTGTCTGGCGGAAAACTCAACACAGACGGTCTTCGAAACGCAGACATAACTTTGCCGGCTAAAACTTTTACGAGACGGGAGTAGAATGGTTATTTACTGGATTTGTAATGATGCTGCTGGGCTGCACTGTCAATAAAAGCTCAGTTCGGCCCCAGGAAACTGATGGAAGTTGGAGCTCAATGGCAGGCCACTACATTTCGCCGTGATATGAAAGCACTGCCGATCGGCGATATCAAATGACCATTGGACGAGCTCAACTGCCCAGTGCTCACTCCACAGCCCAGTTGAGGGTTTATCCCCATTTATCGACTACTCCTGGGTCTTAACACCCATATCAGCGACCACTGACCCGCCTCACCCACGTTAAGCCCCATTTGGAGGTCATTGACATTTTCCACGCTGTGGCAAGGCCTCGAGCTACCATGGCCCTCGAGCATAGTACCACTGATGACGTCAAACATGACCAGCTGTGTGCAAACAGGTGGTGTCGCTAGTGTGACCTCTGACATTTCATGTCAAGCCTCGTTCAATGTGCTTACTTATTCGGGCATGTCACAACGAATCAACGCCGCTCATTTTGTCCCTGATCTATCCCTATGGCTGCAGTAATTTAACCTTTCTCCGTTCCCAAAGTCCTCAGACACATTTAACCTTCTCGCTCCCCTTTAGCCTTCGCCGTTCAGTTTGGCTCCAGTCGACGTCGAATTCGGACTCTACGTCACTGTGCGTCAGTCTCCAACATCGATTTCGACGGGACCGACGGTCGCGGCGCCGGCTGTCCGGAGAATTACGACACCGTCGAGGGGACCAACGACACCGACGGGGGCGCATCGACGTTCCCGTAACGTGAGCTCACCCGACCGGATGGCACGCGACCCGTCCGACCGCGGGGTTTGGGCAGCGGCCGAACGGAGAGACGAAATGGACAGTGAAAACAACACTACGAAATACAGCTTGAGACGGGTTGACTGAAGTTGAAGGATGTGGCGTTAGAAACACCAAGACAAGAGGCAAGCGGACGGGCATCTACGACACGGAGACAAGACAATACGGTACGGGAAGCAGCAACATTGAGATGAGTGAAAATCGAAGACGCGGACGAGACAAGGTCCGAATGCCGGATCGGAAACAGAGACCATGGATGTGGGCAGAAACAGAGAATGGGACAGGGACTAGAACTGGAACTGGAACAGTGGAACTGGAACTGAGACTGAGACAGAGACAAAGATTGGGACTGGGACAGAGACTCGACAGAAACAGAGACTATAGACAGAAGCAGAGACTGGGACTGGGACTGAGAGGCAGGCCAGACCACGGCAGAGCCTGACACCGAACAGGGGCAGTGACCGGGATCCCGCAGACGGAGCGTCTGGGACACCGTGTGACCGTGCTAACGTTCCGTGACGGCCCAGCAGTGTGTACGGTCGCCGCGGGGAAGCCGTGTCGCGATAAACCGATCGGCCGGCGGCTGCAGGTGGCGGCTACACGTGCGGATAGGTAGCGGAGCACACCTGACATAGCAGCTGGCGGATGAACAGCCGTCACCTCAGCTGCAGACTGCCGGTCGGGGATCGGCACAGACAGCGACACATCGACACAGAGAGGAATACATCGACACTGGCACAATCAGCAGTTACTGCTATATTGACACCGGCACAAACACCGTTAGATACCATTTGGTGTTCTGGCGAGCTAGACCACGGACGTGTCTAGCCCAGAGATACCAATACAGACGGAACAGCAACCACAAAAACACAAACATGGACAGTCAAACACATACATACTCAGACAGACACCAGCATCTGACACAGTTTCACTTCAGTCCGCTGGTCGGCGCGATACTCATTAACCTTCCCTCTCATCCACACGTTCCGCGGCGTTTCGACATACCCGAGTTTCTTAACCGTGCACCGCCGCTCGCCCTAAGGAAGGATCGTTCCTGGTGCGACCTGCAGCCTGCAGAACCCCCGACCGCTTCACACAATTAGGCAAGAGTGACCCTGAGTAAGGTGAGGCTGCAGAGAAGCCACCGATAGGAGGGCCAAAGGGGAGAATAAGTCACGATCGTGCATCGATACATTTAGGGCCGTTCGGGTGATGAATTAAGACCATAGATCAAAGCAACTGATAGTCGGCAGCCAAAGACCCGGCGAAGCTACGCGCGAAGAAGACTCGATCCGACGGTGTTCTAATAAATCGCACTCCGTGGAGACGTGTGACGGGTCGTGGGAAGCCGAGCGAGACGCATATCGGTCACTAATTGTGGGTCATCGCTAACCACCGTGCACGCTCGACGACGTGCAGGGGCTCAGCCGCTCAAATCGCTTTACACTTGGCCACTGGTGCGTCACGGGCACCGGAAATATCAATATGGCGCCGGGTCGAGGGTGAAGTAACACTCAGTTCTGGTTTTGTTGTCAAGTTTCCTCAGTGACTTTCTATAAAACTGTCTAGAAATCGTGCATTGTGTGGATACAAAGCAATGCTCTGCAATATATTGTTGGAACTAGCGCCGGCCAGGCAGGGCAGCACGATTGTGCCGGCTAACGCTTGTCTTCACTACGCCGAAGCTCACGGAGTTCGGTTCCGTTAACTGTCGTGATCACGACTGTAGGGAATCGATCCTGGTCCGTGAGCCGAGCGGAGGATCGACATGGCTGGGATTGAGGCCGGTTTGGCACGAACGCCAGAGTATTGCAGGTAGTGGTTTAACGTCCTTCAATGTTTAACCGCAAGATGACTGTGAGCCGGAGCAGGCGGTCAGGAGTGACTGAGGACATCGCTGACTTGTCGACCGTCAATGCCACCGGGCCGGTCGAAATGCACTCAAAGGCTCAGGCTGAACAACATCCCTCACCAGCAGGCCCACTCCTAACCCGGCGGCCAGAGCACTGCGGTCACCTGGCCGGTTGGCGGGCATTACAACTCGCTCCGATCGACAACTACACCCCTTATCAGCTTACTCACTCTTTCCTCCACCCCACGCCCTCTTCCTCACCTACTGACTCACCCATACCCACACCCTCACCCAGTCACCCACGAGTCGCTCCAGCCCCACCCCATCGGCCGACTGGCGGTCACGGTGACTCCTCCAAGGACAGCCGGCCAGGCCAACAAAAATACAACTGCCACAGTTCCTCGCCACCGGCCGGTAAAAGGGACAACTGGCAGCACCGGCTCACTGCACTGTTCACGGCTCACCACTAGCACACGACAGGGAGGCTGCCGGTGTGTCAGGAGCGGCACGCATGGCAACCAAAGCGCACGGTGGCCGAAATCCCGGCATGCTCCGCTGGCGACCATCACTGCTATCGTTTCCACACCGCTGCAAACATTGCGAATGCCATGGGAAACTAGCTACCGGCCTGCAGCTACCGTTCGTAGAATGCATAGCAGTTGAATAGCTGCGATGAGCTCTTGACCGCACACCGTAAATCTAGCCTTGCATAGTCGAGGTATGTATTCGCCACTGCACCTCAAGTTCTACCTCAACAGTATGGGGTCAACCCGGCCTCTGTCCACCGGTCCTCGGAGAGGATTACACCGGTATGCGACCTCCACCCTCATCAGGCATGCAGTCGTCCTGCACTGCGACCCGGGCCATCGGCCCGCCGGTTCACCACCCCTCTGTCTTTCCCTCTCCTCTACCCGGCCACCGTTGCAGGTCAGGGTGTCGAGTGGGGGGGGGGGGGGGGGGGGTGC